ATGAAGTGAAATCATTTGGGGAAACACTGGAAACCTGGGAGCACTGGACAGGTGTGTCGTCCCAGTATAGGACTTCTCAGCAGTATGCACCCATGGCCACACTGGGGATCGAACCCAGAACCTTCGGGTTTCGCAGCCAACATGTTGATCTAGATCCGTTGGGAACCAGTGTTGCCTTTAAATCACAGATGGTAGTATCGTCATCCAGTTTGACATCAGGTATAAAAATGTTTGACTACTGTAATTGCTATCAAATAGTATAGTTACTTTTAATTGAGCGACAAAATGAAACAAATAGCTCATATGAATATAACTTTATTAGCTGATTATTAAAGAAAAACCACTATCATGTTGACTAGCATAGAGAGCTGAATGAAATGTGTTGATTAAGTTTGTAGTTTGTTCATACAGCTAAGTGATTCACTATCTTCTTACAATTTGAGTGAACTTAGATGGTTGTGAAGGAACTCTAGGAAACCATTGAGTGGGTCTTGCTCTTGATGGCACATTTCCAACCTCCCAGCAAGTAATATATATCCTTAGAGATTTGAATCCGTAAACATCAAGTGCTACAGCACCGGTTAACTAACCAATATTTTTGGAGTGTTTTCAAGTTTTTTGTAGGCAGAAACACTCCAGACAGCACAGTTGCTGTAGTTGACGTTAAACATTTACAATAAACTCATATAGTTATTGAATAGTTTTCTTAACTAGCCTCGGGAATATTTATTACATTTAAAGAGAATTACAAAAGTTTTCAGAAATATAATTCTGATAAGCATAATTTATGTATATCCTGAATATATTTAAAGTTCAGTAACTGTATGAATACTACTGGATACAAATTATAATTTTTATGGTTGTATTCATCATGGGACCAATGATAACCTGAGGGCACTGGAGAGCTATTTCGTTCTGGTCTAGGACTCCTCAGCAGTACGCTCAAGAAGAGCTTGAAGAGGCTGTAACGAAAAAAACATTCTCGCTAAAATTCTTGTCGTTTCAAATAAACGCGTAATGATATTTGGATAACGCGTTATGAATATAAATATTGCGATAGAATATCATTTCGTAGTTTTCTCTACTACTGTTACCAGTCTATGCTGAATACAACCTTAAAAGTGAAATCCCCAACAGCCTTAAACTACATTACTATATGGTGCTCAGTTGTGACATACTTTGAGATGGATATCTTGAGGTTTCAATGAGAAGTCGTGACCTGGGGGGTTAGGTAGTTGAAAATAAAGCGAACGGCATCTGAACACCTTGGTAGATAGTTATGCTATATCGTGAGTTGACAGAAGCAGGAAATTGTAGACGATTCAACTTCGGCTCACTGGCTGAATGGTTAACCCGTTCGCCATGAAATCCGGAGATCTTGAGTTTGATGCTCTTCCCTTGCTTGGACGAAACAGATGTTGAATGCTTTGATGTTTTCAATGATTCTCCAACTGATGTCAGTTTATGATGAATACCATCCTGAAATAAATAAACTCCTCATAAAACTGAAACGAAGAAATTATGATTATCATTTCTTGATTACTACCTACTAGAATTAGGAATTGAGTAATATAAGCAAGATAAGATAGTTAGTGGAACAAAACAGTTAAGAAACCTTTATATCATTATATTATTTTTTTGATCATCGATATCTTCATAGCACTGTTAGCATATTGGGGAATTGCTGTGTGAGCAATTTTGAGGTCAGACGAAAGGTACTGGGCAAGACAAGTCAGTCGGTTGACAAAATTTTGAACCTGAGTCGATTGAAATGGCTTCGACATATACTGCTCATTCCAAGCTACCACCGAACTCGATGTGTCATGTTAGAGGAAGTAAGATTACGATGGAAAAAGGTTCAGGGTGACCAAAGCAAGACATGAAACCAATTGATGAAGTCTTAGTCGTATTGTGTTCTCTGAGCTGGGTTGTTTAATCGTGAAGCTTTCATCGTCTTTCTAGACGACATCATCGGCACTAACTTCAGTATGAAGTTAGTGAAGTCCCTGACTGTTAGTTTGAGCCGTGTGTGGAGATGTAGACTACCTGGTTGTGGTTTCCGAGACTAAAGGAATCAGTGGTTGAGAACTCTTGCTAACTTGGAGCAGATGTATTCACTCCTCGACACCTTCTAAAGCTTGAATATTCGTGCTGCCCTTTATCTTCAGATTGTTTATTCCTTCACCCTACTTTATCTTCTTTGATATCGCTCCTTTTCTATTCACCTGTTCTTTGTGTCCATTTGTAAAGTGTGACAACTTGGGCCGATGTACTTGTGCACAAGGTTCTAAATTGATTTCACCGTTATTTTGTCTTATTTATGGACAGTAAAGATGGTTAGCACTTCAAAAAGGAATTTTTTGTAAGTGAATAGGATGCAACTTAGTACTTGACTGGTTAGAGAGGTATACAGATAAATCTACGTAACAAATATTCATAGAGGAGTTTATAATAACTGCACTTCCTCCACATCTTAGAAATCACTGCTTAGTAGAATAAAACAATTATTTTAACTATTACACTTTTAGATGCCAAAATCTAGGAAGAAACCAGTCAAAAAGAATACCTGTCGAATAGGTTGGCAGAAAATTAAAGAAACCTGTTTAGTCACTTACAGCCACCATCTATCATAGGCTTTCAGATGCTCTAGAGTGTTGTTCTAATTTCTTTCGTGTATACATATGTGATCAGAAACTTGGCGCATCACGGAAAGCATTTCCAACAAACTGCAGACATACATCATGAACAGCTGCCGTCTACATTCACTCGGTACTGAACACCGATCAGATGGCCAGAAAGAATAAACAACAAGGAACTCTGACTGACAACGAACTAACCAAGAACCCATCACCCAACAAATAAGCAGAGGAAAGTGGAGGTGGAAGAAGAAGAAGACCGATTGAAGACATCACGAACCAGACCAGGCTAGGCCATTGAGTGAAATCCAAAGGTGAAACAACGAGTTGGGTGTGGGAGGTGAGGGTGATATGGAGGGGATCATGTGAGGAAGAAATGAAAGCTTGTGGGCAGTCGTGACTCCAGCTTCAAAAGACTGCAGAGAACAGAATGCAATGGAGGCGTGCTATGTTCCACTAGAAACCCAAGCGATAAATAATAATAATACATACGTGATGTAATCTCTGTAGTAACAATAATCTTACAGATCAGTGTTCCATAAGATGCAAACTTATAAATGGTGTTAGTAAAAATGGATGACTTTATTCAATGTAAAGTCATCTTTTTACAAAGGAGCACATTTTTCTATCTATGTCATTTTTGTATTTTGAAAGTTCTTAAGTATGTCTCTATTTCAATCAATATCTTTTTAAAAGAGAACACTGGCTGTAAGGTTTTTTATTTAACTTAATAGCTGAGCGTTCATTTTGCAGATATGCACGTAGCTACTGTGAAGAGAAAAATAGTGAACACGTTTTGTCAGTTTCTGCTTTATGCTCCAAGCTAACTTCATAAGTTTTTAAGGTGGGTTTAGTTGTGTTAATATTACCTGGCACTTGACCAGCTTTACATTTATTAATGTGCTCCAGTACCCAACTAATCAGAACCTTAACTACGTGTAAGTACTGATAACCGAAGACAAATTGGAAAATACGTTATACGGTCAAAAGTACTGAGACAAACAGTTTATTTATTTGTCAGAGAATAAGAGGTAAAATAAGTGGAAGAATGTTAATTTATTTGTCTACCAAAGGCTAAGCTAGGCACTCTGAGTTACTCTTTGCCGACCAGAATAAAGAGGACGCAAAAACTAAAACAAACGTAGAGAACTAAAGTCACTCGATGCCGTCGTAAAAGATTATTTAGCTATTATTTAAATATATTGAATATTCACTTATTTATTTTAAGCCCAGCATTATTTCGGTGCCAAGAAGGTGTACTACGAGTTCTTAATTCATTGTTTATCATAAGTTTACTTATAATATAGGAAGCTGAAGTAATAAAAAACACGCCTTTGAACATTTAAGACTATAGACGTTTACTTAAATTGAGAAAAGTTGGAAGTCTTAAAACTTAGAATATATATACTGAGAAATATTTATTAAAAATAGTGACTTTACAGACCACCCTAGCAACTGACGGAACAACCAATCGCGTTTCTTTATTTTATGAAAAGTTTTCTTCTCACCAGAAATACCGTAACCTGATTGGTTATTTTAGGAGTTGTTAGGGTGGCCTTCAAAGTCACCCGTTTTTAATGGGCTGTTTTAAAGGCCACCCTAACAACAATCAAAATGACCAATTAGGCTTCTTCATTTCTACTGGAAAAGTAAATTTTCATGAAATGGAGAAGTCTAATTAGTTATTTCACTTGTTGCTGGGATGGCCTTTAAAGTCACGCTTAAAAGCATTTAAAAAAAAAATCAAAGTTACTACATCACGATAATTATGTTCTGCAGAAATTATATTCTATTTTCTAGGTATTTAATTAAAGTATCAACTTTTATCAATAGTGCGCTTTAGATTATGAATTAGAATAATTTTAAGTCTTATTGTTCACCATTGACAATATATTCTTAGGAATGATTAACAAACTCTATGAAGTCTAGAGAAACACATACATACACATACAAAAACATAGAGTTATGAGTGAAGTAACAGTACAACTTGTGTAACCTATTTCATGCCTATGAAGCCTATACACAACTATTTATTATGAATATGATTGAGGAATGAATCGTTTACACTGTAATCAACCGAATTCAGCCAAAGCATTGGTCATTCAGAAGTTTAAAGCAGTATTATATATCCAGAAGTGTTACGTTCTATCTTTGTCTTTATCATGGCAATCTTAAGGCTTTGACTGTCATAAGTGAATCATGTACTACGGAATTTAGTTTATTGTGAAAATTAAATAATAAAAATGAAATCTTTTGAAATTTTTCAACAAACAACTTCTTGATATATGTGAATAAAACCTTTTTAAGATGAGAGGTTAGAAATGAATTTGAAAAATTGGTTTTCTTTGTTTTTGTTACATGAAGTCTTCGTTAGTTTGTTCACCTGCTTATCATGCATCTCTTCATCAAGTAATACAGACAGTTCATTGTAAAACATCAAGAACAGGTGAAGGTAACTCATACTGGAAGTTATATGACAACTCTACAGTTTTCACTTTTTTTGCAATTGTGTCTGAAGTGAAACGACCTAAAACCTTAATAATGGCACGAAGAAAACTAAAAGGTGAAGAAACAATGGAATCAGTTAAAGAAGAAATAAATTTCAGGGGTACAACACAAATCAATGAATCCTCTGAAGCACTTCATGAAGTAGTACAACTCTGTGAAGTACTTCTTTTTGATGATACATGCAGCTGTCTACCAATGGTACTCTGGAATGAAGAATGGATTCATATAGCTCTGACTGCATTTATACAAAATGTAAGTATACAGTTGGCAGTTTAGTTGCTTAAAGAAATAATCGATTAAAAATTAACTATTTTCATGGTTAGTCAGCTTCATGACGAAAGTCAAAAACTGGATGTGAAAAGGGTGACAGAGAATTGTTAGTAATATTACCTTTCCTATGGCACTCCATTTAATTTGACCAGAAATTACTATAGAATATTCTATAATTTGCGCTTTATACTTAAAAATGGGAACTCAAAGTAAAAATAATTGCCCAATATAAGCAGATATTATTGTTTTCAGTTAGATCGTATTCTGGCTTTACTCTAAGGAAATAAAGTCGTCGAGGAGAGGGTTTTTTCTTCACCGCACTCATCTTCTGTCTAATTATATTGCTCTGAGAATAAACCAAACTCATAACTTTCTAAACTGTCCCTCGTTGTCCCGACACTTCATATTTGTTTATGTTATAACCTTTTCCATTCTCTATTGTTCTTTTTCCCCTATCCACTTTAATTATGTTTGCTTTTTATTTTAGTCAACTGTTCTGTCTATTGTGAATTGTCCAGTTCGTTATGATCATTACCGCAGAGGTGTTGTGGCATCACCGAATTCAAAAACCTTAATTATCATTTCACCCGACTGTACAGAATCTAATCGTTTAAGTCAACACGCTAAGCATCGAAATCAAAAGATAAATTTATTAAGAAGAGATCAAAATCAGTTCACAAATGAAAACTTTGATGAAAAGTTTTCACAACCCTTACCATTGGCATATAAGACAGCGCAACCTGAGGTGAGAAAACTGAAAATTTGTTTGTAGGAGTACACTATCCATCATTGTATAATAAAATAGATACAGTAGTTTTAGGAAAAAAGGTTAATCCTTATTCTGTTTCGAATGGAACACAAGTTTCGGAATTTTCAAACCGAATATAAGAAATATGTTTCCCCTTTCGGTGATTACATTACTAACATTATGTCATAGACAAGTCTAAGCACTATCAATAATACTGATTTGGAATTAATCAATATACTTTGTAACAAACAGTTTAGCCTATAAGTATCAAGCACGATCGAGGGGTAGTAGCACGTCATGACTTCATATGGCAACTGGACAGGATCCTTAGTAATTGAAGTGAAATAAAAATCTGGTCAGCAGTTGGGCCTTGTAGAAGACAGAGGTGATGAACATATCCAGCCAACAACAACAAGCGCCAATCACCATTGATAAGAGAAATCTAAAGGAAGTTGTCTCTTTCACATACCTACCTAGGCAGCAACGTTTCAACTACAGGGGGCACAAATGAGGACGTCAAAGCCAGGATGTGAAAAGCAAGACATGCCTTCATTAACCTGAAATCTGCGTGGAGATCTACTGCACTCAGCATAAAGAAGAAGATCTGGATTTTCGACACTAATGTCAGTCAGGTCAATGCTTCTATGTGATGGTTGAGAGACTTGAAGCGTTACGGAATGCATTTCCAACAAACTACAGACATACATCATGAACAGCTGCCGTCTACACTCAATACTGAACATCGATCAGATGGCCAGAAAGAATAAACAACAAGAAACTCTGACTGACAACGAACTAACCAAGAACCCATCGCCCAACAAATAAGCAGATGAAATTTGAGATGAAGTGGATTGGGCATACACTGAGAAGACCGACTGAAGACATCACGCACCAGACAAGGCTAGGCCACTGAGTGGAATTCAAAAGTGAAATGACGAGATGGGGGTCCGGGGGGGCAAAGAGGCAATCGTGTGAGGAAGAAATGAAAGCTCATGGACAGTGGTGGAGCCAGGTTGAAAAGACTGTAGAAAAGAGAGTGAAATGGCTATGTACTACTTAAGGCCTACATCCCACTGGAAACTCAAAGTAAAAATGATTGCCCAATATAGGCAGATATTATTGTTTTCAGTTAGATCGTATTCTGGCTTTACTCTCATGTAGATATGTAAATATACACAAAAGTTAAACCACTCCTGTAGATTTGTTGGTCACTGTGATAATTGCCTTGAAATAACAATCCTGCCAAACCACTGCTATCTCGGATAGTCAAAATGATCGTCAATATGATGCCACCCCACCTCTAATTCAATTTGGTTTGATTTAACATAACTCCTAACTGGACAGCCAGTCTGAGTATGACCAGGCGGTAGTAATACATCACGAATTCACACGGTAGTTGGGCAGTCGGGTCAGCATTTGGGCCTCGTAGCTCAGTTGGTAGGGCACCAAGCCGAAAACCCGATAATCGCTGATCCGAATCCGACAGCGTTCCAAATTTTCATCTCACCTTCAATCATCACCCATTAGCAAACAGTATTAACGATGAATAACATGATTAAGGATTTTGAAACCTCCATTTTAAAGTAATCAGTAGAAGTATAAGCAGCAGTAAGTTTACTTACATCATCGGTAATAAAATGGCTGGTAACGGAATATGGCATGAATACTAGTCATAAATCAGTTCATGAAATACATAGTATTTTCAGTAATAGGATTTGATTAGTTCCATGTTTAATCACTTCTTACCTTTTTTTGCTTAACAGTATTCCAAAAATGTTGTCAAGACTTATTTGTTACCATGTATTTTTAAATAGGTATGTGTATTACATCATGGTATATGGAGTATTCGGCTGAGGAGTTCTATCGAAATTCTAAGAATCTATTAAATTCTACTTTTCACACACATTAAGAAAAAAATAAATGATTATCTTTTATAATTTTCAGATTTACGAAGTACCATTGACAAGTATTCATAATATATTGACTATTAAAGAACTTAAAGAAGGAAAAGGTAAATATACATTAGAACACTTATGTATTTTCAATTGTTGATAGATAGATAGCATTGTCATACTGTTCATGACTTTTCCCCAATTACTGCTACTCGGTACAAAGTCCTTTAAAAGTTTGAAGAATCCATCAAACTGAGCCAACATATGGAGGGGGGGGGGTAATTTCATAAACTATAAAGTAGAAATGCTTACCTTATAATATTTTTCATAAATCCACTAGATTTATTTGTAAAAGAGAAATTCCTATAGCGAAGTGAGATTAAAATCATAGGCTGCATAAAGTAAACGATATTCAGCATTTTGTAATCTGCTCAACGCTAAGCAGTACGTACTTTTCGATCTATTTGTGACTTGTCAAGTGGATATACCTGCTTTCCAATGAGTTATATTGTTCTTATTGGGACTAGAACTCAATACTTATCACTCCAAACTTGAATATGTTATCTGTTAGGCTACTGAGGCACAGTAACCCCTTGTTGTACAATGAGTATTAGTTACTACTATTTGCTGATATGCTTGTAATTCTTTGTTGTTAAACTGGCTCAGTGTGTGATGAATACCAAGTTGAAATGTATCATTTTAGAATACTTTCATTTCAATTATTGAAAACATTAAGAATGATGTGATTACTATATGGTTACAAAATTTCAGTAGAGTGTTTTGAAATAATCATAATCAGATATTTTTAAGATAGGAGTAAAACTTGGGCACTGTAGTAGATTGTAATTCAATTTTAATCTGTTTTATTAGAAATGTCACACTGAAACAGTAACATTTACTGGATAACGCGTCTCGGACATAATTTATTATCCATATTCATATCAGGTAACTCCACAACTTCGAGACAGAGCTTATATAGCTATAATTTTCTCTCCTTCTTTGTGATGACAAGGGTAGCAGGATTTCGCACATATCTGGAGCAGGTGTAGAGCCATTTTCACCTGTTGCATGTATTCGGTGTTGATTCAATGAAAAAAGATTCAGTTATCAATCTCTACCTCCATCCAGCCAAGTTTTTATACTATCACTCTATCCCACCCTACTGTGTGACTGTATGCAGAGCTATAGCCGAGCTTTTCTCTAAACTTATTACTTCATTAGGATCTACTAATTTTGATTTTGCTAATCTCTTGTATCTGTATAGGCTAACTGACCCTCGTCGACTACTTTTACCTGCGTGTTTGACCTCGAAATCATTGGTAAACTAAATTATTTTGCTTAATTGCATCAATACGACGTTTTAACCTACAAAACTATTTTCTAAGCTAGTTTGTTGGTTTAAAAGCGGCACTAATCCCAGCCACCTTTACTGAGAATTCTTCCTAATGCTTCTGAGGTGCTTTCTTCGTATGATAACACAGCAGAGGCTTTAAATTCTGTCTCAACTCTGTCAACATCATTACTATTAGTAGTAGAATTAGTATTAATAGTACATGTATTATTACTGCTGCTAATATTTTGCCATCGATTTCTTATGAATTCATTTATAAATTTAGGTGGGTAATTATTGAGACTCAAGGTATTCCTGGTGTACCTGACTTCTTGTCATAGATTTTTTGATCTACTAGTGAGCTTTTCCACGGTATCACTTAGACATTTAACTAAGCCTACTTTAACTGGTATTAGGTGAGATGATTTGAAATCTAAGTGATGATTCAAATGGGAAGGTTTCCTATAGACACTAATCTCTAGACTTCCATCTTATGTTCATTTAATCTTGCAATCCAACGTTTCTAGCTCACGTTCATCACTTTCTAAGTAAGTCATAGGTAAATTGGACTGGATTCACTACTGAATTTATATGTATGTCAAGCACCTACTGATATGTTTCGATTCGAGTACTTTAAACGTATCATTCTGCTATAGGAACCATATCTTTGGAGTAAGATAGAGATGTACTCTGTCTTTATATTCGAAAGCTGACCCTTGAAAGATTATGAGTTGCATATAAAAGTTCCCTATCATCAAAGCATACTCTATTCATTCAAGTTTTAAAATATTTATCATTGCTTCTTAATAATTTATCGTATAACTAAAAGTCTAGACTATCCAGCTGTTTCTTATTGTTTAATGAGCATATTTTTTGAATATACTAACAACTCTATCAATATTTTCTATATCTTTTAGTTGTAGCTGGATATGCTTGTACATTTGCTTTAATTACTAAAATCGATTTAGACTGTTCCAATTTACAATATCTTGTAACATTACAATGCACCAACTGTCAAGGTCGTTTGAGATTATGTGATCCACCAGCAGATTATGATATAACAGCACCTGGTAAACATGTTGATCTAAATCAAAAGTATCTGTTTGCAATGTGTAATACTGTTGATTGTCCAATAAGTGGACAAAGATTATCTTGGTTTGATAAACAACATGTGAATGTGAGTAGATCATATTCATTGGATGTCGCAACTTATATTTTCATTAATTTATTCATACAGGTGATATTTTTACTATTTCTAGTCTATTATTATATTATTATTTGTCCCTTTGGTTCCTAGTGGAACATAGGGCTTCAGTAGCACGTCTCCATTCCACTCTGTTGTCTGCAATCTTTTGAACCTGGTTCCATGATAGCCCACAAGCTTTCATTTCCTCCTCACACGATCTCCTCCATGTCACCCTCGGACGCCCAACTTATCGTTTCCCATCTGGGTTCTGCTTGAGTGCCTAGAGCGTGATGTCCCCGAATGGTCTTCTCAGTGCATGCCCAATCCATCTCCACTTCCTCCTGGATATTTTCTTAGATAAATACCAGTTAAAAGCAGTCAGTAGGTTGATCAAAGTAATATTCACAATGAGAATGCAACGGAACGAATGGGTAATAAAAAAAGCCTTCGTAAGAGATAGTGGTTTCATACTGTAATATGATTGGCTGACTTTCACTTGCTTTGCAGGAAACTTACATTTTGTGTAGCTGATTTCATTATTGTTTTTTTGGTATTGCAAACGAATAAACACATTTATTAGTGTAAAGTACTTATTTAATGTGTTAACTATAAGTGTAAAACTTGGGCACTGTGGCAGAATGTAATTCCACATTAGATCTGTTTATTTGATATATAGCTGTACTTAAGTTTAATATAGCTAGATGGAGAGAGAGATTAATTACTGAATCTTTGTTCATCGAATCCACACCCAACACATTTAACAGGAATGATGCAACACCTATACCAGAGATATGGAAAACTTTACTACCAATCAAAAAAACAAAAAACAAAGAAAAATCAGGTGACAGGACTATAAAATCAGATATCGAAAGAAGTGTGATTACATTGATATGATTATGAGCAGTAATAATTTATGCTCAAAACGTAATCGAGTGTCAACTATATTTATACAAGGTGATGATGGAAGGTGGAATGAAATTTGAACCGTGGCCGGATTCGAACTGCCGGGCTTCCTGCCCAATACTCTACCAACTGAGCTATGAGGTCTGACTGTTGACCAGATTTTGATTTTATTTCACCCACCAAGAGTTTTTCCTGACTATCATGAGAGGGGAAGCATCATATTGACTATCATTTGACTACCTGAGATAGCCGTAAGTAGTCGAGCGAAACCCTTGGTGATTGAATTGAAATAAAAATCTGGTCAGCAATCGGACCTCGTATCTCAGCTGAATAGAGCATCAAGCCGGAAACTCGGTGATCGTTGGTTCGAATCTTGCCGTGTTTCATATTTTCATTTCACTTTCGATCACCACTCGTATAAATACTAGTCTGCTAAACTATGAGTATCTCAGATAGACAAGTGATAATGTTAATTATATCCCCAACAGTATTTATATTATGCGTTGCATCTTTATTTGTGACAAGTAACAGCTATCAACAATTCCTTCATTAACTAATTATTAGGTCTGCGAGAAATATCTCAGAATACTAAGCTAGAGAATAAAGTCAAATTATAATGAAAAATAAAGTGACCTGTTATCGAATTCTTTACAATAATCAAATCGAAATCTTATCAGGGACCTTGTACACACTCATATAGTGGCAGTGAGCCATACCTGTTGTAGGAAGGTTAGTGATACTACTTGACTGTCCATATCTCGGTAGGTCAAGTGGTGCTGAAACTCGTGAAGCAGTGGTTGAAAGTCAACTGTCTAAACTTAATTTATATCACTTGATCCTATTTCCTTAGCGATGGTCGAAGTTTATCAGTTGAATTTGTAATATTGTTATTAAGCTTAGTGATTTGCCACTGTGGAGCACTATGATTTGTTGTTTGATGTGATAAGTTAAACAATATGAAGCTCCGGGTGTAACTCACTCATAACATCTAACATCCATCAAAATTCTGGAAGGAGCATTGAGAAACTTTCAAGAGATAAACAGTTGATTATCACTTCGATCGTCTGAGATAGCCATAGTCTGGCAGACTTATGTTGATATTGAGTGATGACTAGAAGTGAAATGGGAATTTGAATCGCAGGTTGGATTCGAGCCAGTGACCGCTAGGTTTCCAGGCTGATACTCTACCATCTGAACTACGAGGGCCGACTGCTGGCCAGATTTTTACTTCACTTCAATCAACAAGGGTTTTGCCTGACTAACGTGTGAATTCGTGATGCATTACTACCGCTTGATCGTATTCACACTGGTCGGGCAAGACCCTTAGTGTTTGAAGTGAAGTCAAAATCCGGCCAGAAATCGGACCCCATTGCTAAGTTGGTAGAGCATCGAGTTAAAAATCCGGTGGTCCGTGGTTCGAATCCGGCCACGTTTCATATTTTCATTTCACCTTCAATCATCACCCAGTATAGTTACTAGTCTGCCAAACCATGGTTATCTCAGATAGTCAAAATGAGAGTAAATAATACTTAGTAAGATAATGTTAACAGTATGTATCCCAGCTGGTTACAACTAGAAGTACTACCAATAATGTTAATAGATAGAAAACAAGAACCAATGCCAGTGTATTAATTTGTTAGCTAAGCATTAAAACCTACAGCCCATGCAATAGTACACATTCGACAACTTTCTCTATCATCAAGGCTGATAGTATATAATTATAAAGTAACAGAGAAGTGAGATGGATTCTATACTGATTTTCTCTACAGTACTCTCCCCTTTCTATATTTATGAAATACTTCAGTACAAGAGTATTTATGTGTGTTTAATAGATAATAAAGCGAAAAAAATATTATTTGGAATCAGATTTTGGTATTTTTTCAGTTTAGAGTGTTTAGAAAATCAAAACAAGATTTTTCTGAATGTTTCGATGTGTATGTAACAGCCCTTTCAGCTTGGCGGTTTGGTATCGCCCCACCTTTAATATTTTGCAGTGATCGTTTTATCATCAGGCTTTGTGATATCCTCAGCGATAAATTCATAGATGAGTGAAGCATATTGGAATGGTACACAAATATTTGCTGCCCTTCAGTTGGAGAAGAGATTTTTGTCACACCTTGACCTCTTTGACCTTAAATTCACTTCAGTCCTGTTGATAGTTAATCTTTGTTAGAGGGAAATTATCCTCTTTGTTGTTGTTTTAAACTACAACAACAATCATCCTACAGTTCACTAGGAATGTTGCGCACAAACATTATTCCCAAGGGTTAAGACACATTGCGTCACTAAAGCACTACGGAAAGACGAAGAAAAATACCGGTAGAAAGTGTTCAAAGCCAACAGTTATTCACACAACTTTATCTAAAAGTGTTTCTCACTCGAACAGAAGATAGGGTAACTGGTCCAAATGAACAGGCTCGCTGAACTATCCTACATCGAAGATACTTCAGAAACTGCCAACCAACTAATTTGTTCTTTCGGAATCAGAGTAGCACACAAACCAACGGAATCATTACACAACATGTTATGCAAACCAAAGGATCCATTACCAAAAGAAGACAAGCCAAATATAATCTACAACATCAGTCGTAAAGATTGTTCACAGTATTATGTTGGCCAGTCTAGCCGTCGAATTTCTCAGAGAATTCATGGACACCAGCTAGCAGCAAAGTGGCATGATATAGTCTTCTTGGTTTCTATGCTTACTGACAATTACAATCACAATTTCGGCTGGGAGAATGTAGAAATCCTCCGGAGAGCTGGTTCTAAAGCTGCAAGACAGTTTCTAGAACATAGGATTTCAACGAAGAGAAAACCAACCAACACGTGGATATAAACCCAATCTACAAACTACTTAGGAAGAAACTAGTCATCCGTCAACCAAGGGTAGACTGACCAAACAAATCAGAAATGAAGCAAAGTGTGACAGTGAAAACTAGCACAACTTTACTCTAACAGAGATTACCTACCAACATGACCGAAGTGAATTTAAAGTCATGGTCAATAAACATTTGTGTACCATTCGAATATTCTTCATTTCGTTATGAAGTTATCGCCAAGGATGTCATCAAGCCTAATGATGAAACGTTCGGGGCAAAATATCAGAGAGTAAAGAGCACCAAATTGCTAACACCTACTTCTTGAGTTGCAACTATTTTTCATCATTTGACAAATCAAGTGATTAGGCTAAAAAAAATTGATTTTAAGTTTCACATTGACAGTTAACATTAGTCACTTGAAGACTTACAGAATGTTCTTCTGCTCTACACTCCTCAGTATATACTCGAAAAGAAGTAGATTATCAGTTATCAAAGAATTAAACAAGTTAGTTTTGCTAGTCACCATTTGTTAATGAAGGAAGAAATGTTTTACTTGAAGACTGTGTCAAAGATGTTTTGGAACAAATTCTACATTGGAACAAATACGGATCAACATGAAATAAATGTTTCGAATTAATACGATAGTGACAATGTCACTAGTCTTAGTGACCCATACATTCCTAAAGTGTTAGACATATTACTTGACCACTAGAATAATTCAATGCAATCGTATTACCTTTTCATTTATTATCTAAACAAGGTTTCTCTAAACAAAATTTCATCTTCATATAACTTCAACATGGTAAGACACTAGTAACATAGTTCATTCTGAATTCTCCGTATTCTACTGATAAAATCAACATGTGTTATAACCTATAGTCCAACTAACTGTTTAATACTTTAAGAGTGCACGAAAATATTACTTACTCAAGTAAATTTTGCATAAGAAGGGTAACTTCATAATGTATGAATCACCTGACTAATGAAACAAATAGAGGAGTAAAATTCCTATGATGCTCTTTTCATGATATAAATAGACTGAAGGTTGTTGTAAATTGGTGAATCACTTACAAAAATGAGTGAAACTGACTTATAATAAAGATTAACAGAACAGAAAGATACAACCATTTGCTAAAACTTGAGAAAACTATTTTCATGAACATCATTAAACATCTTTATTATAATTTCAAAGTAGTATTCATCATAGACTGACAACATTTTGAGAACCGTTGAAAACCTGGGAACACTGAACAGCTATTTCGTCCTCATATGAGATTCCTCACCAGTACGCAGCCATAACCAGGCTACAGATCAAACTCAGGACCTTCGTGTTTCACAGCTAACGCGTTAATCATTCAGCTACTGCGTAGGAGTTTAATGGTTCATAATTTATTATGAATTATAAATTGCATTAAATGAAAATTTGAGTGAATTCAAAGGTCAACAATGTTCTCATAATAATTTTTACAATAAATTTCTCTTTAGTTGGAATATGGTACATTTGTTCATCTATCAGATCATACAGGAACATATTCCAGATGTTTGTTGGCCAGTATTGCTATGGAGAAACTTTTAGGATGCAATGTTGATAAATTTTTAAATTTATCAATGGACAAACGAGTTCGTTTAAAATGGGAAATATGTTTAAGGAGGTTCAAGGTGTGTTTATGTCCAAAAATGTATCATATAAAATTTAATACATTATCAAAAATTATAATTTCAATTATGATAAATAATGTTGATGATTGAATGATGAAAATATCTCCTTTTCAGCTCAAAATTGAATGGTTTTTACTGCATACTAACAGATATTAAGTAATATCTTTTTTTTTCTGAAAGTATTCTTAGTATTATTTTGGTTGTTTTACCTGCCTCATTTACATTTACCATTAGTGATTGTAAACACTTGGTAAAACACTATATAAAGAACTTTGAGATTAAGATAGACATAAGTGGCTGTCTAACGTGTAAGTCGTGTTCATTGGTAATTTAGCTGAAATGTTGTCAATACCTAGACAGTAAGGATAACCTTAAAAGTTATTTGGTGTTACTAAAAGTGAAACATAGTCACTAAACTATCATAAATTTCCGTTTGGTATTCATCATATACTGATGTCGTTTGGAGGAACATCGGAAACCTGAGAGCACTGGACAGCTGTTTTATTCTAGTATAGGACTCCTCAGTAGCATGGATACATGACCTCACCAGGGATGGAACCAGGACTTTCAGGTTCCGTGGCTAACATGTTACCATTGAGCCACTCGACAGAAACCTTTGCTAGCCTTCAAATTGAAAGTATTATCAGTAAATTCTTAACAAAAAATTTATATACTGATGAGTTTTTATTTTGGTAATATTTTGAGCACAGTTACTGCACGTGATCACTACAACAGTTGGAATTTTTAAATAATATTTATTGATACATTTAGGGACCGTAAAAGTTAGAGTACACGAGAAGGCTTCCGGTATTAGACCACCGTTTCCTTCGGAGCATAGACTATGTGTCATGATGTCACTACATCAGTAATGCAGAAGTCAGATACAGAATTTTAAGGAGAAGAGGAAAGTCAGTTGATGAGGTTGTGAATCCTCATTGAGTGAGATGGTTGGGACATACGTTACGCATGCCCAGTTACCGTCTATCTTATCGAACAATGTTAGCTGAAGTAGGTTTAGATTAGTCAAAGCTCAGAGATGAACAGACTAAGATATGGCATCACTGCATAAAGTCCTCGACTGCTGGTCCAAGCCATACAGGGGAATACAGACTTCCGGTTAAGGTCTATGGAAAGACACAATCAATGTCACTGGCACAGATGTATCTGAATGATATACAAAGCCGACCTTCATAAAACGTCCTGTTGATTGCTCTAGCTTGGGGTTGTGACAGAATGTCACTTGTAACATATCCCTTGAATTTTAAGCGCAGAAACAAAGGCTTCCTCCCCACTGTCATCAGTTTTGTTTGAGACCAATGTAGTTGATGTTGTTTTTGATGAACTCGTCAGAATATCCATTTTCACTTAGAATATCGGGGATACACTGTAGCTCTTTGTTCACAAACTCCTTGGAATAAGTCAATCTTACTATAAAAGCCAGGCACCTGATTACATTACATTTTTAATTTATCGTTATGGAGCTGAGAAAGTGTGTTTACTGTACCCTAGACGTTATTTTTCGATATATACTTCTTAGTATAGAGCCATTTTGTTTCTTATTATTATCACATCAAGAAAATGTATCGAATCATTTATTTCATTGATGGACGAGTGCTGTTGAGCTGGTTCAGAATAGAATTAATACATATGTACTTATCAAAGACTGAAAAAGGTATCATCCATGTATTGATAGTAAAGTTTGATCTTTCTAAAGACTATTTTCCAATCTTGCCAAAGATATGTTTACAAATACTGGTCCCAATGGAGATCCCATAACCGCACACTTGACCAAGCAATCCCTTTCTAACTCTACAATCAATCCACTAATTTACCCTACAGCATTCGCTGTTGATGACCCAATATTGATCTATTAGGCAATATTAGACTAATCTATTTATTTGCTATTACTACAAATATGATTGTACAGTTGGTGAGAATGATTCTTCAGCTTCTTTTTAGTATTATTCATTTAAAATCAACCAATATTTTTATTGCACTAGAAATGAGGGTATCAACAGTAGACACTGATAATAATAATGATAATAATAATAACAATAATAATAATATTCATATTTGTCCCTTGGGTTCCCAGTGGAACATTAGCATATAGCCATTTCACTCTCTTCTCTACAGTCTTTTTAACCTGGCTCCACTACTGCCCACAAGCTTTCATTTATTCCTCACACGCTTTTCTCCATGTCACCCTTGGACTTCCAACTCGTCGTTTCCCGTGCGAATTCCAACCGAGGGCATGGTGCATGATGTCTCCGAATGGTCTTCTCTGAGCATACCCAATCTCCCCTTTCTTCTGCATATTTGTTGGGTGATAGCTTTTTGGTTGGTCCGTTCCCAGAGTTCCCTGTTGCTTATTCTTATCATTCTGGCCATCCGATCGATCTTCAGTATCCAGTGAGCGTTGGCGGCAGCTGTTGATGATGCATGTCTGTAGTTTGTTGGAAATGCTTTTCGTGACGCGCCAAGTCTCTCAACCATCAAATAGAAGCACTGATTTGACTGAATCAGTGTTGGAAATCCGGATCTTGATCACGCTTCATGCTGAGTGCAGAAGATCTCCACACTGATTTCAGGTTAATGAAGGCCAGTCTTATTGTCTTTCGAATCCTGACTTCTTTTAGGTTTTTCCTGTTGATGGTGGTTCGTGATTGTTGTTTTTGGTTAAGTATCTTCATCATGCATACTGATAATAATTATCCATAATGTGATTGATAAATACTAATTCTGATTACTTACTTCCTTTTCCATAGGTGTATTTCTGGACAGAACAGATTAGTTACAATAATCCATCACCGTTAATTGTTATAATTGGTGTGGAGAAGCCTAACACTTTTGAAGTTATACAATCATTAAGATCAAATAAAGGACACTTTTGATATGAATGCAATTCTAGTGAAATATTTCACATGAATTATCAATGAAGTTTTGTTATATATTTTGTTAACTGTTTCATTTGTTTATGATATGAAATATACTATTTTTCAAAAGAAAGACAAACTATTTTTTACACTTCCCATAGAGATATTAGCTAGTGACTTGTATAAGTCAATACCTTGAAATCCCTTAAATGTGAAAGTCTGCACTGTAAGTACATGAAATAATTTGTAAACAGATGGCATATTTCAGGATGTATGATGGATCATTCAGACTGTATAGCATAATAAGTTTTGAGCGTCAGTTCTCTACAGCATCCAATCTGTCTGTTTCATAACCCTACTGTAGACTAAATAGAGATATTTCCCATAGTGTTAACTAAGTTAACTGTGTATTCCCGAAAAGCAGTATTGTAAACAAGTTGTTCTGCCTAAACGGATCTCCGAGCACTACCTTGTTTGCCTAACTCAAGAAGCGAAGCTGAATTCTTGAGTATCTGGTTATCTGTTGTCACTATGTTCCACCACAATCTTTCTTCAAAGTCATTTAAAAAGTCAAATGAAACATTTCGAAGGGAGTGTGGATTTATCATCTGAATAAAGCAGAAACCTTGAGAGTTCATTGGTTCAAGCCTGATGTCCGCATTCAGAACAGATACGTTCAGTCTTTTAATTTTATCTTGGTCATAATCTCCCTATTTGTCGTAATCTTATAAAGAATGTTTCGATGACCTTAATATAACCACCTTGTAATTATAGTGAAAATTTTTTTGACTTTGTATTAACCCATTAGCTATCGATCGACATATACTTTGTTGCAACCTTAATTAAGATTGTAATGCCTTTGGAAATGATTCGTGGGACAGGAAATTCTCTTGTCTGACTTGTCTTTTGTGAATACTTCAGCTAATATTTTATTTATATTCCGAACCAAGTGAAAAATCACCTATCACTGATGCTGCAAATTTGGCTCAAAGCTATTCCAATTTAAGAATAAAATTAGTCAGGTTTTCTTTAGAGTTTTTCGATCTTGGTATTCCTCACCTTTAAAATTTTGCCAAAATAGGGGTTAATTATTTCTTGAAATACTACAGATCTGTGTGACGATGATCTGAAAGTTTTTTGAATAAAAAGTTTAGAAAATTCAGGCGGATGTGAGGATAAATACTTAATGATGTCATTGGGTGATGATCGTAAACTGATAGAATTTGAACATATAGACCACTGAATTCGGGCCCAGTGGCACAGTTGTAATGTACTGACTGAGGAACCTGAAGATCCTGGGCCCTATTTTTGGCCGGGTCATGGCTGCGCATTACTGAGGAGTTCCATACTAGGACGAAATATCTGTCTGATGCTCCCAAGTTCGCAGTGTTTCTCCATTTGATATCAGTCCACGATAGATACAACATTGAAATCCTTTTTTTAACCATTCATATTGTCCTTATGGGATGTTTGAATTTGAAAAGCTTTAATGAACCTTATTCACCTAATGATTCTTGTTAATTCTTATAATGTTGGGTTTTCCTTTTAGGATTTCAAATGTTAGAAATTTTTTCATTCGAACCTACTGGCATTTTTCAGGATTTATTCAAATACAACCTAACTGCATAACTGGAAAAAAAGTAGTAGATTTAAATTTATGACTTGATGATAAGCTCTGAATTTTCTCCCAAATATGCTGGAACAATTGATATTACTCATTAAAATTATCTTTATCAGCACTGGAATTGTTTTAATTGGTGTAGATCCCATATTTCCAGACACTAAGTAATCACCCCTTGGCCCGGTCTTAGCAGATTTTTTCCTGGCAAAACTTGAGAATGGTCCACTCAACGATACTACTAGCCTTTTAGAGTTATATTGTCGTTACATAGATGATACCTTTATAGTTCTCAAAAGTGAGACTGATAAGAATGCTGTTCTGAATAGGTTCAATAGTGTTCACCCAGCAATCAACTTCACAATGGAAGAGGAGAAAAATGATAGCATTTCATTTCTTGATGTTCTGTTGGTAAGAAGGTCAGATGGAACCCTGAAGTGAAGTGTTTATAGAAAGCCAACATCAACAGGTCAGTATACTCACCCGTTTAGTGCTGTACCCCTGCAATTCAAAAGGAATCTAGTGAAATGCTTAGCATACCGTGCATCAGCTATTTGCTCAGAGGATGCTATAAAGGAAGAGTGCGCCACCATCCGTGATCTGCTTAGTAGGAATGGCTACCCAGACAAGATTTTAACTAAGCACTTGAATATTACGAGGGTTAAGACAACAATGCCAACAGTTCCTAAGAAGCAAATCTTCTTGAAGCTGCAATTTAAGAGTGATATTGTCAGTGAGATCATCATACAAAGCATAGAAAGAGTTTTGCATAAAGCATTCCCAGCCGCTAAATTATGTCACGCCTTCTACAACCACCCAATTCAGCGTGTAAGAAATAAAGACAAACTGCCTGATTCTGCCACTTCTATGTGCATTTATCAGTTCAGCTGCTCCTGTGGAGCGAGTTACATTGGGCGTACAATGAGGCAGTTCCATCGTCGAATTTCTGAGCACCACCCATCATGGTTGAACAAGGGACAAATTAGAACTATAAAGAGCTCCATACTTACACACTTAGTTCATACAGGACATCAAGTGGTTACTAGAAAAGCTTTCAGAATCATTCATCAGATTCCAATTAATTTACCTCATGGATTATGCACTGGGTTACTTCAAATAGCAGAGGCGATTGCAATCCACCTTTACAAACCTAGCCTTTGTATCCAAAAGAAGTTTGTCCGACCACTTTCATTACCGTGGCCGTCAACATGATGTAACTTCTAGGTTTACTTTGTACACCTCTTCCCCTTCTTGTTTCTATCAATATTCATACTTCCTATTTTAGTAACTCTATTGATTATTTACATCATTATTTCCAAAACATCACCATGTGATTGGTAATTTGATTAAATTGTAAAACTGTATATTAGTGTGGAGCTCAAGATAGAGACCTAATTGAAAAGGAATATATTTCTTCGCTCAATCAGTCTTTTTCTCAATAAAAGTGTCTAACATTTAAACTGACTTATACATATAGTTTAGTGGTTTTCTCGCAAATAAATATCCCATTCTGTGTCCAGCTGCCGTCCACTACGTTAGAAAGAGGCACAAGGAGGGGGTGTACGGTTCTCAATTGAGTGACTTCTTATTTTACTTTGTCTTCTAATAATTATATACATTTATGTGGGTTTAGTTTGTACAACGTGCAGATAAGTAAATAGGTGTTCACTCCATCGATGGCTTAAAATCTTTTCTATGGTAATGATGGGTAGTGGCTAGCAACGAAATCCCGGATGTGCATTTCGTCCTACTTGGGACACGTTAGCTGGATGTATCTGCTTCCCAGTGAGTGATGTTGCTCCCACCAGGATTCGGACTCGGAAGCGATCACTTCAAACACCAGCGCGTTATCCACTACATTACCGAGCCACAATAGCCACTTCTTGTGCGACGGGTATAGTTTTAGTGTAATTGCCTGTATTATACCATCTTTGATTGGACCGACTTGATCGGTCTCTTTTGGCATACTGGCTCCTGTGCGGATGCCTCGATATTGCCTGTGTTTTCATTATATGTGGTAGTAATGGAGCCCATGTGCGAATAGAGACCAATCAATTCGGTTCAGCCAACAACGGGATAATACAAGCAATTATATTAAAATCTTTTCTTTTATTATCTACTTAAACGCAACTGACACAGTATAACATCACTCAGACATCAAATAGTTAAAATTGATCTCCGAGACCTAGTGGCATACGATATTTTAATTTCACTTTAATGATCAAAGAATTTTTTCGGCTGCCATATGAATTTCTTGATGCGTAACTATAAAATTAACATCTAGCCAGCTGTTAGGTCTCGTAACTCAGTTGGTAGAGTACTAAATCGGTCAGTGGGAGAGCACTGCCCCGAATCCTGCCGCAACCCAGATTATCATTTCATCTTTAATAATCACCCATGATCAATCATGCAAGTCTGATAAACTACAGCTGCCTAAGATAATCATAGTGACGGTAAATTCAAAAGTATTTTAAAGGAGGAAGTCAAACCACATTTTTTTACCATGATAAAATTGAGATTATTTTATTGTATGCATTAATTGGCCACTGAAGGTCAACCAAATTCATATTATCTAGTCCTAAGTACTGACCGAACTCTGTCGATCATTTCTGTAATGTGGTCACCAAGCTAGAAGGCTTAGCATCGCGGTGCACATTACTAGATGTTAGTTGGATGGAGACAATCACCAGGAAGATCTGGCTGAACCTAGATTTCGTGCTTGTTGGTGCTCATCAGCAATGCGTATCTGCAACTCCGATGGAACTAATGTCTCGCCTCATCCAGTTTTGCGGTCAGCAATTTTACCACCGAGCTATTCTAGTCTCGATTCACCACCTGTATGGTTCGAATCTCAGACGGGACATCAGTTCCATCTAGGTTTCAGATACACCTAGCTGACTAGTGCTAACAAGTAAGAAACCAGAGCTTCCTGTCAATTCCCTCCAACTAACTAAGAACAATTTTATGAGGTATTACATTCAAATAAACCTTTCTTCAGTAATATCTAGCAATAACTACACCCAAATGAACTTGGTAAATTCAAATCTGGTGCATTAATAAGTCAATAAACTGATGTGAATTGAAGAGAATTTTAGCAAGAGTGAAAACAAACTGATCTCAGTTCAAATGCCACAGTGTTTCAATCCTAACCAACATGATAAATAGTTTTCAGACATTGATAACATAATATCATCAAGAATACTATTCACATGATATCGAAAATGCAGTAAATGTTAAATATAAGGAATAAAAAAGACAAAAAATATTTTACTAGAATATTTCCATAAAAAATTTATTGATTTATGAAATTGATAAATAATATTTCTTTATGTAGACTAGATGTCAATAGATTTATTTTCTGGTTTACGGAAATGTCTCATATGAGAACTAGGATCATAAGGTCGAAATGGTGGGTTAGCTCCATATGGTATCAAAATTGGATTGCTTTTAGGACTAGAAATCTTGGCATCTGATGTTTTAAGAGAGCCTTCAGCACGTGATAAATTCTCATATGACCGATGAGGTAGATTTCTGTAAACTAAATAGGCATTAGGTCGTTCCGGTGCCGTAGTCCAGTAATCATCTAACTCTAAAGCCTAAAACACAAAAATACGATAAAATCAACAAGAGTCAGTAAAGATTAAAAACTTTCCGACATTCGTAGTATACATTTAATACATACTAACTTAGAACGTGGATAATAATTTAAGTGATATAAAACTTATGGAGATAGAGTGATATCCAGTGAAAAAAATATAATTTTAAGGAAAGTAACAGTTAGAAAGATACGAGAAGCAGAATACTAGATTTCAAAATCCCTCTTTGTTATAGTATAAAAGAAATATATACAGAGTAAGTTTTTCCATAAGCACAGATTATTTTTTTAAGCCGCATCATCCTGGAGAGACTAAAGGATGCACTGGATTTAAAACTGCGACCGGAACAGGCAGGCTGGATTCAGGAAGTACAAATCATATACTGGCCAAATTGCAACGCTACACCACGCGTCATCATAGAACAGAGTATAGAATGGCAGTCAACTCAACTCCACCTCAACTTCATCGACTTTGAGAAGGCCTTTGACAGTGTCGACCGGGAGGTAATTTGGAAACTACTACGGAATACCGCAAACCTTTATCAGCCTCATTCAACAACTATATGAAGACGCATGCCACATGCCAGACAAGTAATTCACAATGGGAAGCTCAGTGATGAATCTGAAGTGAAGACAAGAAGGAGTGAAACAAGGTTGCCTACTATCCCCCATGATATTCCTGATTGTGGTGGACTGGATCATGCAGCAAACAGTGTGGAGCGAGAAGAGTGGGATACGCTGGCTGGACTGAGGAAAAGAACCTAGAAGACTTGGATTTCGCCGATGACTTGTGCCTGATGTCACATAAACTTGAAGATGTACAGGCAAAAACTAACAAGTTGATAGAAGAGGCAGCGAAGACGGGACTTCAAGTGAATATAGAGAAGACAGAGGTGATGAAGATACTGCACCAACAACAACAAGCTCCAATCACCATCAATGGGAGAAACTTGAAGGAATTAACCTCCTTCACTTATCTAGGAAGCACTGTTTCAACTACAGGCAGCAGTTGTGGCACAGACGAGGATGTCAAAGTCAGAATCGGAAAAGCAAGACAGGCGTTCATTAGCCTGAAACCAGTGTGGAGATCTTCTGCACTCATCATGTGGAACAAGATCCGGATTTTCAACACCAACGTCAGTCAAGTCAGTGCTTCTGTATGATTCAGAGATTTGACGCGTTACGAACGGGATTTCCAATAAACTACAGACATTCATCAACAACTGCTTACGCTCGCTACTGAATATCAGATGGCCAGAATAATGAGAATGAGCAACAAGGAGCTCTGGCAACGAACCAACCAAGAACCTATCACCCAACAAATATGCACTGGAAGGAAGTAGAGATGGATTGGGCATACACTGAGAAGGCCGACTGGGGACATCACGCGTCAGGCCAGGTACTCGAGTGGAATCCCCATGGTAAGCGGCGAGTTGGACGTCCGAGGTGAGGGTGACATGGAGGAGGTCGTGCGAGGAGGAAATGAGAGCTTCTGGGCTGTCGTGGAACCAGGTTGAAAAGATCTCAGAGAACAGAGTTCACTGGAGACGTGCTACTGAAGCCCTATGTTCCACTAGGAACCCAAGGGACTAATAATAATAATAATACAGATTATTTTTGAACCCAAAAAATAGACCAGTACTTCAACAAACTTAAGTATACGAATCGGACAGTTTCTATGCATAGTTATGGAAGTTGTTTCAATATCAATTCTGTAAACATTATCAACATTGTGTTTTGGAATAGATGAAGATGGTTGTCTTTAAACTATGCTTATCGATATTTTTGAATTCAACTGCTTTTGTAGCTACCTAGATACATGCCTCATCATTCTCAGGTGTATATGTCATGATTAGTTCTGTTTATGTACGTATCCGCATATATACAACTCTAAACTAGTTTACATACTTGGAATTGATATAATAGTGTATATAGTGATAAGGTCTGCTCTGTAAATACTAAAAGCTCAGCTGGAAATGTGAACCTTCTTTGTGAAACTGGATGATAAGATTCCATTTTGTATCATAACACGGTATAAATGCCTTCCTTTAGGAGGGCATGTTAAGTGAATTTCTTCATCAATTGATTTCTGAAGACGTTTACGAGCTTCCATGCATATCGGTTATAGCATCATCTTACATTGAATTCTCCTTACAAATACGCTGGGTCATATTGTGAATAGGTTAACCTCGTTTATATTGGGTTAAACAAAAGCCATAGAAACCTAAATACTATCCTGCCTTAGTCTGTTTCGTATAAACCGATAACTTCATTAAATTATCTTTCCTACAACTCAGGAATATGTCTAAGAACAGCAGTCGCTTAGTTTTTTCTTCTTGATATGTTTGGAGTACACTTTCTTGTATGGTGTTAAATCTCTCTAGCAAATATGTTGCATCTTCATGCTTGTCAAATATCACAATTAAACCATCAAAATATCGACTATAAAGGTTAACCCCACTAATAAAATCACCTGCCAAGCTTACAATATGTTAAATTTAAACATCAACTTGCAGTAGTTTTAAGGGACTCCCCATGTCTAAGGAATTGATTTGCCGAAAGTATTTCCACTTCAATTTTGGCGGGTGTGGGGATTTAGTGATTTTTCAGGTTACTGTTCATCAAGGACTGACATCAATTGGAGGAACATTAATAACCTTGGAGTACTGGACAGCTGTTTCCTTCTAGTGTGCGACTCAGCCGTGCGCATCCGTGACGCCACCAGGGGTTTGGCCCAAGACCTTCAGGTCCCATGGTCACCACGTCAGCAATGGGTCACGGGGTCGGCATTTAGTGGTCCATATTTCCAATTCCCAACTTCAAATATGATATGAACCTTATCAGTATACAACAATTTCAGCACTTTCTGACAAGCTGAATGGATCGGGAAAGAAAAGTTACTGGAAGATTAATAGTCCATGATTTTAGTTAGATGCATGTTGGTAAATAAAAAGTGAACGTTATAGGAATACAAACTTTTGTCTCTGATATTAATGTCATCAAGACTATCTGCGAGTACATAGATGGATATTATCTCGTCCGGGCAATCATATCTGTTCATCTTTACCACACCCAACCCTTTGTCGACATTGAGAATGATTATTTCAGGTCTGTTTCGAAGTTGTCTTAAGGTTCTGAAATGTAGAGTCAGCATACTTCTCTGTCTTGATGGGCAAAATGTCATTAACTGAATACCGAACTAATGATGATTTTTTGAGGAGATCAAAATAAGCGGGAGGGGGTGGGGAGGGATCGGTAACCAATTCGGAAACGTTTGTGAATGGAGTTGAGAAATTAAATCAAAGGGAAGGCGCCTCTTTATTATATACAGGAATTTCAACGGAGGATAACTGAGTCATATACTTATTTGGATTAATTGGAAGTAAGATAACATGAGTTTCATTCTGAGGTTTGAACAGCTATTGCTTTAACATCAACTTCGTCTTAATGATAACAGAACTGACAACTGAACTTGATGTGATAAATTGGCACACTATAAATGAAGGACATATAAATCATGAACATAGAGTTCAATTACTTTATCTAACTGTTCATTGCGATTATCAGTATGGGGTTGAGAGAGAGAGAGAGAGAGAGAGAGAGAGAGAGAGAGAGAGAGAGAGAGAGAGAGAGAGAGACAGAGTTGAAGCAGGTTCGTATTGTCCTGTTGAAATTAAGTGAAGAGCTAGAAAACTGACTAGTCACTGTAAGAACCTAAACAAGGAACTGAAGCATATAAAAGAAGCACTAATGGTTAATAATTATCCTCTACCGTTTATTAAGAAATTTGTACGAGCACATAATAAACGAAATAATAACAATAACACGAGTTGGAATATTAACCACAAAACAAGTAGAAAGGAGTTTAAAGCCTCCATAAGGAAGGTATATCTGAAACTTCACATAGGATCCTCAACAAGGCTGGAATTAGGGTGGCATTTCAACTTACAAACTCGCTCTGAGAGATAAGCTTTGTTGGTTTAAGGATCCGATAGATCCAATTCAACAAAATAATCTAGTCTATCAAACTCTGTGTAATGATATATGTGAAACTAGCCTGTCGGGGTCAGTTAGAATAGCTGGACATGGAAATTTAGTTGAATATAAAAAGACATACCCTAATAAAGTCAGTAATTTAGAAGGAGACTCGACTATTGCAACACACAACTACACAATAGGCTGAGTGGGATAAGACCACTGTACTCAAGTCTAACATGACTAGGTGAAGAGAGTGATTGTTCACGTAATCAACACAACACGTATTAGGAATGGCGCAAAACCTATACGAGAGATATGGAGAATTTTACTACCAATAATAACAAAGAATATTAGGTGATAGCACAATGAAGATCAGATGTCGACAGTGGTCTAGTTCCACTGATAGGATTATGAGCAATGGTAATTTGTATTCGAAACGTCACCAAGTAAATAATAATGTATCACTGTGTGTTATATATCAAATAAATAAATCTGATATGGAATTACATTCTACCACAGTGCCCAAGTTTTACACTTATATTAGCAAAGTGTTAGGGAAATGCGAAGTTTTTAGGAAGATGGTAGACAACCATCTTCATTCATTTTAACACACACATTGCTGATAAAGTTCACAAAATTGATATTGAAACAACTTCTACAACTTTGCATAGAAACTGTCAGGTTCCTATACTTAGGCTGGTTGAAGTATTAGTCAAGCACAGATTTGAGCTTGTTTTTTGTGTGCTGAGAAACAATTTTTATTCATAGTGAGGCTCCAAAATTCATTGGAACTTTGATTTTAATTTGGGGGGGGTTGTGATGATTTGTTGATATTCAAGTTGGTGTTCAAATGGAATTGATCTAATGCTCATTAGTGACTAGCTTCGGGAGATGATTCCTGAGGTTTCAGTGGAAGGTCGTTACCGTTGGGTAAGCCTAGCGGCCATCAGGAGAGATACTCAACGATGACACTGGGTGATGGCCGCGCGCTATATCGTAAACTGACAGAAGTTGGAAATAATGACCATTGCATCCAGACCCAGTGGCTCAATGGTAACGTGCTGACTACGGAACCTGAAAGTCCTGGGTTCGACTTTTAGTGGGTGGGGTCATGCGTGTGTACCTCTGAGGAGTCCCATTCTACGGCGAAACAACTGTCCAATGCTTCCGGGTTTCTAATGTTTCTCCAACTAATGTCAGTCCATGATGAACACCAACTTGAATTTCAGTTTTGTTCGGTTTGCTTTTTACTAGATGTCACTTCAAGTTCTTTAAATAATATCTATTCAAACCACTTTCAACTAACGTTGTTGATATATTCGTGTTAAAGGTGCAAGGTTTGTATTGTTTTTTCTGCAAGACATTTTAAGAGGGGAAAATTTTAAGTGGCTTTGAAGATCATCCAAACAACTGCTTAGATAACCAATTGTATCTCTTTACTTGAATAAACAAAACGATCTCTTCAGCTGGAGTACCGCAACCTGATCGGTGATTGAGTTTGATTTTTATGCTGTTGTGTTCTCCTAGCTGAATGGTCTAATCATGAAGTTTTCATTGTCACGCTCGATAACATCAACAGCACAAACTTTAGAAAGAAATGAGCTATAGGGTTTTCTCCATTAATGGTTTAGTGGCTTGTCCTGATGGTCCTATGTGTGACTGGCTGTTTCTGCCAAAGTCTTGTTATTGTCTCCATATTCATTTTAATTAGTTGTCTTGCTGACATGAACTTTGACCTTATTGTTGTTTCTCACTGGTTGATAGATTGAGTCACTATCAATATGTCTGTTGATAGCTGACTCACCTGAATAGCAAGTTTTTAAAAATTCCCTGGGATTTTTTGTATTTCCGTTTTCCAGGATTGTCACATTTCCCCGGTCAAATTCATCTCCACAGCTATCCGTGTGCATTGATATGAGTGAGGATATGTCATGACGCTTCACCATTAGTTGATTTTTATGAAGATGGATACTAAGAGGGTGACTACTCTGTTCGATAAGGTGTTTTTCGCAGTTTCTGAAGTCTACACTTGTAGTTTCGGTCATCAGGATAAGCAATTAAAATACTTATGAAGAAAGTGACGAGATTTTGCAGAAACAAACAGTTACACCCAAGATCATTAGGCGAAGCAGCTAAGAGACATCTACAGAAAATCTTATACGTGACTTCGTTTTAAAGTTTGTGCTGATGTTATTGCTAGAGTGACAGTGAGTGCTTCACGATTAGGCCACTCAGGCTGAAGAACACAACACACAAATATTCTCCATCATCTATTTCAGTGGTCACTAGGATGGGTTGAATATAAAGTCCTGCAATCATCCCTATGCACAGATAATTTTGAATCAGATGAAAGTGCTAGAATCTACTGATGTAGTAATTTGTCCAGTAAATTTACAAGTGTGTATAAGTATAGTTTTCACAACTTTGAAATGATATGAACTTCAGAAAATACCTTAAACAATGAAATTTAGGAAACCAGAAGCTTACTTTAGTCATCTTTGCTCGATTCAATTTCCACTGCATTGTTCTATTATATTTTTCCCATTCTTCACTTAAGTCATCCATTGGAGGATCACCAGCTTGTAAACGTCGATAACACTCTGTTAAGAGAGCTCGACGTTCCTTAAAACAAAGCAGAATATAAAATGTATATTACTAATATTATTATTTAGTAAACTGAAAAGTAAGTGAATACAAACAGGTATTCTTAACTCCTAGTCATAAAATTGTTCTCAGTTTCAAAACTTCTCAAAAGAAATTAGGCATCAATCTTCCTTGAATGGCCTCACACAATCCTTCCAAATGTCAGATGATTAATCTTAGCTTTAGATGTCAACAAAACTTGTATGAACTGCTTTAATGACTACAATGTACTGTGTAGGATTTTTAAAGCTGTTAGTATAGCGAGTGGCATACTATCAACCATACTGATAAATGTGATTATGGAAAAGGAATTTAGCTGTTGTAGACAGCTGGTTAGAATTATTTTATCTAATGACAAGAATCCTTTACATCCACACCTCTCTCCATATCTGTCATCTAGGAAGACAAGAAGCAAATCATATTAAACTCTATGCACTCATAACGACATACAAAAGTACAACCATACGTTATTTAGCTTGTGTATTGTGTGAAGAAAATCATGTTAGACAGTCTGATCAATCAATTCTACAACAGAGAGAGAACAGTTATCATGTCTCTGAAGTCAGTAAACATTTCAATAATCTTTTTATTTGTTATTCTCTATAGTTGATGTTTTAAAAATGTTGCACAATGGGGTAAATTAATGTAATATCACACGCTGAGAATTCTATACTGTAAACATAACTATGGCATGGAATACAGCAAATATATTATTATTATCATCTTGACTAACTGATCTAGTGGATAACATTCTTGCGTTTGAAGTGATTGGTCTTGGGTTTAAGTCTGCAAGGGAACCACATCACTTACTGGAAGCCAGGTACATCCAGTTGATAAGTCCCAAAAAGGACGAAACGTGTGTCATGGTTTCTGTTGCTGACCCCTATTCACTGTTAATAATAACCTATCCTTAAATACTGATATGCTAGCCATTGTCAATCATTAGTAGACAAAAATATCTCTTCTGAAGAAATAAAGCTTTACAGCATTCGACTGTATAATACGGTTGTGGAAACCTGTTGATGTCCTTCAACGCGTTCATACTAGGTGTAGTAAATTTGTACAAGGGGTAGACCCATGCAACATCATATGCTGAGAATTCTATACCGCAGACAAAACCATGGTTTGGGATAAAGAAAATATGTTATTATCAGTCTAGAAAGATTTGGGACCACTGGATAACTGTTTCATCCTAGTATGGTACACCTCAGCAGTAATCAGCAGTAAACCATGTCTGGTAGGCACCAGGTTAACCATTCAGCTAATGGGTGAAAATTTGATGACCAACATTTTCATACTTCTGCCAATTCATGCAAAAGCGCAACTATCATCCAAGGTCATCAGTGAACATCGGCTTTATTTCCTATTTGGTTGACCCCATAAATCACGGTTTCTCACTAGAACTTCTGAATATCCATCTTGAAACATGTAGGTAATTAGAATTAGACAGTTATTTAGTCTAAGGTTTGTAAGGACATCAGTAAGTATCCCTTGATGAGGAGTTTCATTCTTGGATGAAACAGCTATTCACTGCATCTCTCAAGTTTGCAGAGGTTCTCCAGCTGGTGTCAGTCTGTGATAAATACTATCTTGAAATATATATTATTAGTAAAGAAGTAAATCACAAGTTGATGGTTTTTCACCTGATAGCTATAAATACACAACGAATGCTTTCATTGTTAGGTATTTCCGTCTCCTAACTTGGAATTCATTACAAATTCACATCAATAAGAGAACCGTTTAAAATATAAGAGCATTGAACAGACGTTTTGCCTTACTATCAGTTGTATTCAAGAAACCAAGCTGAAAAGTTACGTTTCTTCATGGATATGAAACTGGTAAAATAGTCTTCAATATAACGTAATTAAAAGCTTCCATAGCCATACATACAGAGAGATATAGTTCTCAGTACTTTGGCTGAGTAGACCAACAAGCTTTAGGCATCTAAGTATCCTATTTAAGTATTTTAAGTATTTAAGTATTGAATTAAAGGGGAAGACACAAGAAGTGGCCATCGTGTCCCACTGGCTTAGTGGATAACACTCGTCACCAAAATCAATATAAAGGAGGACGTTCAAACTATGGAACCAGTTTTGTTCTGTGAAACCTATCAGTAGTAGTTACTTATTCATACTTCTAATTTGCCGTCGTTATTCTAGGTTTCTGCACAAAAGACGATTGCCATACCTAAATGGTCTAATGGGTAGTGCTGTGGCCTTTGAAGTGATGGGTACTGGGCTCGAGTCTCAGTGAGAACCGCACGAATCATTGGAGTGTAGGCACATCCACATGAGGAGCCCAGTGGATTCCGCTACTTATCTGTCATGCAGTAAAATACAGCGTATCCAAAGAAAACTTCAAATAGTAGTTTAGATTGGCATTATTCAAATTTTTAGTAGGATCTCTCAACCAATACATTTGTTAAGTCAATAAACCAAGTAGCTTTACACTTGACAATTTTGTCATTGAAATGATGATAGAATAAATTTCCTTCTGACAACCAACAAATCCTAACGAGAAATTTAGTATTTGAATTTGAGAATTCGTGAGGACTTAGAAATTCTCCAAGTTAATATCAGTTGGAGGAACATTTGAAATCTGGGAGTACTAAATAACTGGCCCGTTTTAGTATGGGACTCCTCAGCAGTGTGCACCCACGACCCCAATGGGGAACGAACGCTCGACCTTCAGGTTCCGGGGCCAGCAAGTTACAGTTGGACCACTGGATCGGAATTTAATTGTCCAACTTTTGTCAGTCCATGATATAGCGTAACCATCAACCAATGTCATCGTTGAGTATTTGTTCTCACAGCCACCAGGTGTCTACCAAATCTAAAGCAAATTGCCTATGTTTAAATTTCTTCTCACTATCTGCAAACATAATCATTTACTGAATACAATATTTCAAAGAATTATTTTTAAGAGTAAACTGTTTTTTGAGTTCATCATCTTAACTTTATCAATAAATTCTTTCTGTTACCTTAACTTTCTGTTGAAGTTCATATGCTGTAGTCATTAGCATGGTCAATTCAGCTGTTGTTGCTTTCAAACGTTTTGTAGTTTGCATAGTGGTACCTTTTTGTTCATTAGTTTTAATAGCCAATGATAATGTTACTTGTCTATAAAAATGGAAACAAAGAAAGTAATCCATTTTCATGTTTTTCTTTTAATTTAATTTAACATGGAGATAGTATTCAACACAGACTGATATTTGTTAGAGAATCATTGAAAACCTGAGAGCACTAGAACGCGTTAACTATTCAGTCACATTTTCCAACTTGTATCAATTCATGAAATAGCGTGACCATCACTCTAGGTCTTCAGTTGGTATCCGCTTTCCTTCTGAGTGAATAACCCCATAGGTCACGGCTTCTCATCAGAACTTCGGAATATCCATCTAGAAGCATGTCACTGAGCAGCACTATATAGTAATATATTTTGAGGTGAATGAAGAACTTAGTTTTGAGGTAGTATTCATTCACCTGTTGATTCCAGTCGTCTCGTGGAGTCCCTAACCAGGCAGTCTACAACTTCCTCTACACAGCTAAGATCAACAATCAGGGATTTCATCCATTGGTAAAATTCAAACGTACTGAACATACTTCACAGTTGTTTGTATATATGCCAAAAGTAACAAAGACAGCTGGAAAATGGCTGATATTCTGTCTTCCTTAACTGTACTGAGCGTGAACATCATAGGCTAGTGTACAATGAATCAGGACTACAATTCACAGTAACTGATTAATTTTAAACATCATATTTGCGCCCATAACCTGAAACAGAGAATTATTTACCGTTATTGTTCAAGCTATGCACATTGAATTCCAAAGCAGTGGCTCATTAGTAATGTGTTAGCCACGGAACCTGAAGATCCTGGGTCTGATCCTTAGAGGGCAGGGCCATGGGTGTGGATTGCTGAGGAGCCTTACACTAGGATGAAACAGCTATGCAGTACCCTCAGGTTTTCAGTGTTTCTCCAACTAATGTCAGTAAATGCCCACAAACTCCCAAACTGAAACTAATAAGCCCAGTGAAATGTATGCTCTAGTCCAGACAACAAAAGAAGTAGGTAAGTATCTTCAGTCTTATGTTGGTTATAAAAAGTATCTTTTCAAATCTAGGTAAGATCTACTCTTAGAATAGTTCGGTCTTAATTCACAAAGTTGTAGTTTTATACCATAATGCTTAAGATCAAGTTAATATTCAATCTGTTTGAGCCTTCCGATCTCTCTCGTACTTATCAGGATTATCATAGTTAACATCAGAATGAACTTAACTGATAAATGCTCATTCATTAGTGGGGTGAAAGTGAATTGTCACACGAGTATCTGAACTCCATTTACATATTACTTTTAATTAGGTAAACACTTTGTGTTGAGTTCTCTGAGTAGAGTGGGCTATCACTGTGTTTCTGGCCAAAATCATCATCAACAACTTCAACATCAAAAATCACACGAATGGGTAAACATTTCGATACCTGATTAGTTCTGTTTCACTACTCCCAGAAAAGTAAACATTTAAGGAAGAAGAAAAGTGATACGTGTTGAGTTCTCTGAGTAGAGTGGGCTATCACTGTGTTTCTGGCCAAAATCATCATCAACAACTTCAACATCAAAAATCACACGAATGGGTAAACATTTCGATACCTGATTAGTTCTGTTTCACTACTCCCAGAAAAGTAAACATTTAAGGAAGAAGAAAAGTGATACGTTATAGAACACTCGGTTTCTGTGAAGCAATAAGATACCTTGGTAACTTTTCTGACACCGTTTTTTCAAAACTTTGTAAAATAATCTTCAAAAGGATCACAAAGTTACTTTTTCATAGTCTTTATTCCTGTTGCAAATCGAGATCAGGTTAGTGTTTGTTGTTCACTCTACACTAGTCTTCTGTCGTAGCTACTTTCACCATAAGACATCCATGATACCACTTTACAAATACACAGTCTTAGTCAAACGTTTCGCATAACAGGTACATCAGAACAGACAGTAAATTATACAGCGACAGAAGAGAGGTAGTTCACACTACATATGATCTGGTATGACCATGATGCAAACGCAATCAGTATTATGTCAAATATTACACCATATGCTCTAAATAAAAATATAGCTTCTCTACAGTTTTGTCGAATAAAATAAAGACAGAATGATAACAGTGATACTTTACTAACGTCAGGCATAGAGACACCTAGCTATCATCCATACGACCTACACTATATCTCTTCACATAGTAAGACTAAAGTCAAACTCAGCAAAGTCTTTATCTGAACTAATTTTGCCAGGTCACTAGATGGTAAGCATGGACATTCGGGTTTCCGTGAACCGTCTCATATGCATCATCAACTAAACAATTACGTAGTTACTACAGCTAACTTGATTCTTGACACGAAGTTGTACGCATTCATATTTAAGACATATGAGTGGTAAATGTTGAGGTTAACAAAAGAAACTTAGGAATTTGAGAAGCAGCTATTATTATTATTTGTCTCTTATGTTCCTAGTGGGATATAGGGCTTCAGTAGCACATAGCCATTTCAATCTGTTCTGCGCAGTCTCTTTAACCTAGCTCCTCATATGATCTTCTGCATATCACTCTCACAGGCCCAACTCATGGTTTCCCATACAAAGTCCAGTCGAGGGCTTCTCATGATGCATGATGTCTCTAAACGGTCTTCCCAGTGTATGCTCAATCAACCTCCACTTTCTTCTGCATATTTGTTGGATGATAGCTTCTTTGTTGATTCGTTCCCAGAGTTTCTTGTTACTTATTCTTATTATTCTGGGCATCTAACCGATCTTCAGTATCGAGTGAACGTAGGTAGAAGCAGTTGACGAATGTCTGTAGTTTGTTGGAAAAGCTTTTCGTGACGCGCCAAGTCTCTCAATCATCAAATAGAAGCACTGACTCACTTGGCTGACATTAGTGTTGAAAATCCGGATCTAGTTCACGCTTCATGCTGACTACAGTGCACTGCAGTAGATCTCCACACTGATTATTTCAGATTAATGAAGGACTGTCTTGCTGTCTTTCCGAACCTGGTTTTGACTTTCTCATCTGTACCACCTGTAGTTGAAACGATGCTACCTAGTCAGATAGGTGGCTGACAGAGACAACTTCCTTCAGATTTCTCCCGCTGGTGGTGATTCGTGCTTGTTGTTGTTGGTTGGGTATCTTCATCACCTCTGTCTCCTCTACGTTCACTTGAGTTCTCATCTTTGCTGCCTCGCCTCTTCTGCCAACTTGTTCGTTTTCGCCTGTAGATCTTCGAGATTGTGTGGCAAGACATAAAACATAAATCGTCGTCGGTGAAATCCAAATCTTCTAGATTCTTTTCATCGGTCCAGCCAGCTGAGGCCCATCTTCTCGCTCCTCATGGTTTGCTGCAGGATCAAATCCATCACAATCAGGAAGATGATCGGTGATTGTAGGCGGCAGCCTTGTCTTACTCCTGTCTTCACCTTAAAGGCATCATCACACAGCTTTCCGTTGAGAATCACGTTGAGAATCATGTAGCGTTGTCACATAGCACATAGCTGTTGAATGAGGTTGATTAAAGTTTGTGGCACTAAAACCGTAGTGTTGAAGCAGCTGCCTGTGAAATTACTTCTCGTTCGACGCTGTCGAAGGCCTTTCCGAAGTCGATGAAGTTAAGGTAGAGAGTTGACTGCCAATCTACGCTCTGTTCTATGATGATGAGTAGCATAGCATTGGAATTTGATCCGCACATGATTTGCTCTTTTGAAGCCAGCCTGCCTACCTGTTCCTGTCGTAATCTTGAATCCAGCACATCTTGTAGACCCTCCGGGATGATGCAGCTCAGTATTTTGCTTGGTGTGGACAGGAGCATGGTTACGCACCGGTTCTTGCAAAGACTTAGGTCTCCCTTCTTTAGGAGTTTGACAGGGTAGTCGCTTTAGTTCAAATGAATACGATACATTGAATTATAGAATACGCCTTTAAACCATATCCAAATTTCGATAGTCAGTTCGAAATAAGATAAGAATGTTTGACTGACAGATGGTGTAGTAAAATTCTTAAATACTTGTACCAATTTCTTCCTTTCCTGATATTGAATAATGATGTCAGAAGTTGTTTATTCAGAAAATGCTATTCATTTAAGTCACAGTTTTCGGTCCGCATACAAGACTAGACAACATGAAATTGGTCAATTTACATTTAGTCGTGGCCGAAATAGATAATTGGTGATGTTTCTAACTGCGGCACTCTGTAAATCAGGTTTGAATGTCACTTGGGACATCAGTCCATCTTAAGTGACAGACAGTTCATGCTGATGAGTATCAGTAGAACAGAAACTTATGTCCAGGGTTGTTTATTATCTATACCAATAATCGCTCTAATAATGATTCTACCTAATTTTGCTGGCAATCAGTTTACAAAGAATACACTTTTAAAAGTTTAATCTGATACTTTTAAATGTTTTTTATCATGTTAATTTGTTTGGTTTCGGTTAGCAGAAGAATCCAGGACACACGTTTCGTCCCACTTGGGACTTGTCAACTGAATATACCTGAACCCCAGTGCAGAATGATGTTGTTCCCACTATGATTCAAACCTCATATCCATCGATTCAAACGCCAAGGCGTTATCCACTCTACCACGGATACACGATAGCTACTTCTTGTACCACGAGTATCACTTATTACTATTTACTGACATACTTGTAGTTCTTCGTTGTTTTAATGTATCAAATTGTTTTTTTATTGTTATAAAAAAAAGATGGGGTAATTCAAAAACTTACTTTCCTAGATTAGCTTCTTTCTCAAGTCTATTCACTAAACATTTAACTGCATCCAATAGTAGATTTAATTCAAATAATTTACGTTCACGACAAATTATTTTTACTTCAAGTGTATCAATTTTATTTCTTAATTCAGCTGGATTTTCAGTTTTACCTTCAAGTTCATTTAAACGTGTTTCATATTGTAAATAAGTAGTAGTTTTTATCATTTTTTTATTTTTTAATTTTATTATATCTTTTGTTATTCCAACACCTTTATCACTGTCTAATAGAAATCCATTCGGTGTAATTGCACTATTCTCCAATTTTGCAACACGATTTTGACATACACTTAACTGAAATTTAATCAAAACATGTAACATATATAACATGTATTTTTGAGATGAATAGGGAATTTTAATTTAGAAGTAGTATTTATCATGGACTAACATCAGTTGAGGAACCACTGAAAATCCGGGAGCACTGGACAGTTGTTTCGTCCTAGTATGGGACTCCTCAGCGGTACGCACCTACAACCCGGCTAGGGATCGAACTCAGGACCGTTAGGTTTCATGGCGAACGCGTTAACCATTCAGTCAGTGGGTCGGTTCCCAATGGTTCACAATCTCCAACTTCTGTCAATTCACGACATAGCGCGACTGTCACCCAAGGTCTTCAGTTAGCATCCACTTCACTTCCGACCGGTTGACCCCACAGGTCACGGCTTCTCATTAGAACTTCCTAACATCCATCTGGAAGCAAGTCACTAATGAACACTATGCAGTAATGTATTTTTGGGTGACAGTTGTGCTATGTCGTGAATTGACAGAAGTTGGAGATTGTGAACCATTGGAAACCGACCCACTGACTGAATGGTTAACGCGTTCGCCATGAAACCTAACGGTCCTGAGTTCAATTCCTAGCCGGGTCATGGGTGCGTACTGCTGAGGCGTCCCATACTAGGACGAAACAGCTGTCCAGTGCTCCCAGATTCTCAGTGGTTCCGCAACTGATGTCAGTCCATGATGAATACTACTTCTAAATGTATAGCATGTGTCTAAATTCACAATTTAATTGTGTTTACAAAATAAAATGCTCAGATTATGATAGGACAGAATTCCCTATGGAATCAAAATTAAGAAAAAGCGAATACCGGGGAACTTTTACTTAACCACTTAGAAATCTAGTGTTACTGAAAAAAACTTGAAAACACATCAGCCACAACTCTACACATGTTATGGTTTCATATCACATGGTTGTTTTTGATAATTATATCGAAATTTATACCGGGTGATGATTGAAGGTGAAATGAAAAGTTGGACCGCGGCCACATTCGAACCAGCGACCACTGGCTTACCGGCTTGATACTATACCAACTAAGCTACGAAGTCTGACTGCTCACCAGATTTTAATTTCACTTCAATCCCCAAGGGTTTTACCCGACTACCATGCGTTTACTACCTCGTGATCGCATTCCCACTGGCTACCCACCATTCAGGACTTCTCATCCCAAACAAATCTATCTAAATTATACAGTTACAATCACCCATATATGCGCATTCGCATCCACTGGAACTGACTCATGCCAACTGCCAGTTGCCTAGACCAATTTACACACAAATTTACACCAACAACTGAACACAAAGTAACACAAAACAGCTTGATGATCACTGCCACTCATACACGTGGTCCAACATCGCGCAGTGACCAGAACAAGACGCATACACACTCACAATGACATGCTGCAGTTCTGCCACCCAGCCACAAACCACACTGGCGCACAACCACGCACTTAGAAACACATTAATATGATCAGACACACATAGGCACAGGCACGAGCGAAAGCATGATCGCAGGTACTGTCGATGTTCCCTGAATATATATCAAGAGACGCTGACACTCAGGCACATGCACATACATATGCAAACACAGCGAGCCACACACTGACACAGTCTGTCTCTTCTCCTTTGCAGGTGGGTCGACGACACCGGAGGAAAGAGAAGTCGTCAACGTAACCGACAAGTTGGGAAAGGTGGTGGCCACACGCCGACGCAGGAAGAGACGACCAGCCACACACCAACCACTCGGTATGTCTCATACAAATCATCAATCTTATTCACACTGACAATACGACTGACTGTGGAGCACAAGAGCATACACACGCAAGTACCCAGTCAATCACTGACTCACTCACTAGCTTGTCCACACACTGAAGGAGAAATTCAGGGCCCAGACAATGTCAACACCTACACAGACACATTGAAGATGTTATATACCCACACGCATCCAAAGTAACATACACACTCACAATCACACAAACTAACACTCATACAAACATATGCACATCCACATCCACTGGAACTGACTCATGCCATCTGCCAGTCGTCTTGACTAATCCACACACAAACTCACACCAACATTTGATTGATTATCATTATGACTATTTGAGATAGCTGGACCTTGTAGCTCAGTTGGTAGAGCATTGGGCTGGAAATTCGGTGGTCGCTGGTTCGAATGTGGCCGCGGTTCATATTTTCATTTCACCTTCAATCATCACCCAGTACAAATACTAGCCTTCCAAACTATGGTTATCTCAAATAGTTATAATGATAATATTGAAATAGTTTAGAAAGGCTTTAGAAATTATAAAGAACGTCTCACAGCAGAATCTCTTCATGTAAAGTGGAATCATGATTGTCTAAACAAGAATGAGGGAGTAAAATGTAGTTTGATCTAGTCTCAACCTATCGTCACATACTGACATAACCATCATACATGCAATAAGAACTATAAACACATGTGTACATACAAATCTCATCATGTAATTCACGTACAACACACTATATAAGGACATCATCTTTATCCTACAATTCTGACTATGCAGAATCATTCATGCCGAATAACACTTGTCAGTTTACCGTATATAAGCTAGGGGATATTGTAAATTGAGGTTTACTACAATTTTGATAAAGCTATTGGCAGCCCTAAATAGCGAAACGTCAGCTGAAACAAATTTATTTTGTTTTACATTTATTATGAAATACAAACACCAAAATAATGAATGTATATTGGACATTGTCACAATTACAGAGGTGAAAAATAGTTTTTGTTTTAATTTACTATTCACCACTGACTGACAACATATAGAGAATTACTGAAAATCTGAGAGCACTGAACAGTTGTTTCGTCCTAGTATGGTGCACGACTACAACACCACTATGGCTTGAACCCTAGAACCTTTTTATTCCGCTGCCAATACGTTACCAGTACTCTCAGGTCTTTAATGGTTCTCTGACTAATTTCACTTTGGGATAAATATCAACCTTGAAATTAATCCCCATAAAAGTCTGAATAAATTTCAGTGTTTTTTAAACAATGTGTTTGTAGACTTTCCTTTAACACTTTGATGTTTGCTTCTTGAAGTAAAATAATCAGAAATACAATTGCTGAAGACAAACAGATCAGGTCAACTTCAATCATTATTCTATAGGAATAACATAAGTATATCCGGTAATATCATTGGTAGTAAGTATTAAACTCCCTCTCTATAGTTCAGGTTGATTTGGATTAAGACGAAAAAATCTGACTGGGTAACCAGTGTGATCATAACGAACGGACAATTAGGTATCATGGATTCAAATAGCAGCCAGGCGGAACCTTCAGTGATTGAAATGAAATAAAAAACTTGGTCATCAGGTAAGCCTCGTAGATCAGTTGGCAAAGCACCGGACCGCTAAATTAGAGACTGTTGGTTCAAATCCTGTCACAATCCAGATTTATATTTTCACCTTCAATCATAACTCAAAGACACAATTATGTAACTGATTTCTAATTATCTGTGGATTATCACTGTTATTAAAAATTTACTCAATGGCTACATTTCACTTGATGCTGAGTAGTAATATCACAGTATGGTCACATTTCATCTTGCCTAGTGATGGCTACTGGCTAAATTCTGTAGATTAGCACACATGACTAGACAATATGAAGTTGGTAACTCTTCAGTTACCAATCAATGTAACTGATCTAATCCTACCTAAGGTCAGTCAACCGAACCACGAATAGCTGAGGGGTAACATAGCTGATGAGGGGTTCAACTATCATTCCCCTCTATCGTGCACAAATGCTATTGCTGACGAGCCCCAACAGGCACAAAACCTAGATACACCAAGGCGTCCTGATGATCGCCCTCAATCAACTGATGTGTATGCCTTTCTCTTAACTGTTTTAAACTGATCTATTTGTGACCAAAAGTGTATAATTCTTAGACAGCTAAGTGGACAGTCGAGGCGATAAAAGATGTTGACTTACTACATATATAACTCAGTTTGTATCCAGTTCTGTAAGTATTTAGCCTTCAGTGTTATTGCTTGTATTACACCGTCGTTGATTGGACCGAATTGATCAGTCTCTGTTGGCATATGGGCTCCTATGCGGATGCGGAAGCAATAACACTAAACCTATACCCGTCGCACAAGAAGTGGCTATCGTGGCTCAAACGCGCTGGCGTTTGGAGCAAACGCTCCCGAGTCCGAGTCCCGGTGGGGACAACATCACTTACTGGGAAGCATGTACGACCAGCTAACGAGTCCCAGATAGGACGAAGTGCGCATCTTGGATTCCACTGCCATCATTACTAAATATGTTTAGTCTACAGTTGGAATTATAAAGCTGTTACTAATGCGATAGTAAATTACCAATTTAAATAACTAACTTTCTAATCAAAACGTTTCTGTAAACATAATTTCAGGTCAGTAGTTGAAAAGGCTTTTATTATTAGTACGTGAAGAATTGACAAAAGTGACAATCCTACTCAGGTTTTCTTTCAAGAACTCAATTGTTCATGGAGATATTCATGAGTTGGGTTAGGGTTAGAAACCCTAAGGTCCTAGGTTCGACCCCTTTGAGGAAGGTCATAGGTTCACATTGCTGAAAAGTCCCATATTAAGACGGAAAAATTGTCCAGTGCTATCAAGTTTCTAATGTTTCTCTAATTGATATCAGTTTATGATGAATACAAACCTGAAAAAGCGAAATAGATTTTTACTCAGCCAAAAACTATGAAGATCTATGATTGATTGAAATCCAGTGATATGTTGCAATCTAATTCCTGATCATTAAGTTGGTTGATAATCAACTGATCTTACGAAGGAGGTTCTAGTTGTTTACAGCTGAACAGATATAAAATTGAACAATGTAAATATCCTTTTTCTTCCCAATTTTCAATGAGTTTACAGTAGATTCCAGTTCGCAATGAAAGCTTTCATACAAGATAATAAAACAAGAACTACTCACCTGTAGTTGACTAGAAAGTATTTCATTTTGTAATTTCTCTCTTTCTTTTGCCTCTTTTCTCATAAGTTCATTACTTCTTATCAAATCATTCTTTACTTGTGTTAATCCCCTTATTTCATCATTCAATTTATTTAATTCAATTTCACCTTTGTGAAGTGTTAGATTTTGTAGATTTAATCTTTCCTATCATTTCAACAATAACAATAAAGTACTTTGAATAATTACTCAAAGGCATAGATAAAAGGATATAACACACATAAGATGTAAAGTTACTATGTAACCATTTAAACTGTCACACTTTTCTTCTACACATACAGATGAAGTTTAGATAGAATAATTACATAGAATTAAGATTAAAAATATCATTCAAACATTGTTATTTTGATGAACATGAAACATATATGCCCCTCCCCTTACTTACAATAACTTCTGAAATAAATGGTATAGAACTTCAAGCAATTAATCACGGTGATCTCAAACAGACTGAAACTAAGTAGTACCAGTCATAAACTTCATGGATTATTTCTATCTTGTTCTGGTAAATTTAAACTTTTTCCACTTCTATCATATCACAGCGAGTTTAACACTTTGCAACAGATGGTGTTTTAACGTGAGCAATAAGCAATCCTACTCAAGTCTATGAAGTTTCAACTGATGTATCTTCTCTAATGAATACTTGAATGCTTTATTTCCTCACTGTTCACATGATGGTCCGCCACGTGCAAACATGTAACCGCATTCTTGTTGAATATCTACAGCTCCTAAACGTTTATCTTTAACAAAATACAAACTCATTTCGTTTAGGTAGCTTGTCAGACATTGAGTGGTTTGAATAATTCACCTATCTTAGTGGACATCACCCTTCGACTTTACAGGGACTGACGCACTCCTTGAAGGTCATCTGATTGACATCTCAAAGCTGAATGATACGTGGATTTCGGTCCTTCAACTCTCCAGGAGGTTGGAAAGGCCATTTTCATCTTTAAGGATGGAAGTAAAAAACGACTGAGAAGGGAAACAAGGGTGATAGGCAGTTTAGGAGAATTAGAGTCAGTTCCAGAAAAAGCGTCAAGATAGTTAACTATTCTGGTCTGTAAAAAGGAGAGAAGTCCACTTGTGATAAATCCAAGATACTTGGGGGCATAGTTATCCGTCACCGTTAACTGGAACTGGGAGAAAACAAACTGGAGAAAATCAAGCATTTTTCAGACCTGAATGGGAGCGCTCAGATTACATCGTCACTCTTCAACAGGCTTTAAGGCGCAAGTATATCTGCCGGTGGCCGAATTTTGTCATATTTCTTGACCTAAACGTAACATTTGACACAGCTTGCCATGAGGTGTTCTGACAGTGTCTGATAAGAGGACCCAACAAGTATGTAATACTAGTTAAAGCTCTCTGCTTGAACACATATAGCTATTTAAGGGTATATAGGGAATCGTTACCTGAAGTGACACAGACTCATAAGTATTCACAAATGATAATCCAAATTTCGATAGTTTGAGTCTTTTGTTTATTATACACAATCCAGTAAATCTCAGTTTTAGTTATAAACTGTCAAATGAGATTATATTTATGCTTTTTATCTGAGTACTACTTAAGTAGTGGATTCAGTCAACTTAAGTGTTTTCAATGACAGTTTTTATGAATTGATCAGTTTTAAGGTAGTACTCATATTACAGAAGAAAATTGTTTGATGAAACATTGAGAACATGAAAGCACTGGATAGTCTTTACGTCGTAGTCTGAAACTTTGCAATAATATGTAAGCACTACACTACAAAGTATGAAATATAGGGTTGTCAAATCTCGTGAAGAGCATTTTACTATTCAGACAATGGGATGAAATCCAACGCTACATATTAACCTAATTCTGTTATTTAGTGATATAGTCCAAGCATCATCCAATGTAATCAGTAGCTAATTGTTCTCACGCTCTTAACTTAGTTGATCCCAAAGATAAGAGTTTTTTTTTAACAGGACTTAAAGAATTGTATCTCAAAACAAGTTACTCATACGAGCACAATAAAGAAAATTCTATTGTAATCAAAATTTAAAATTTACTTGTAATACGCAGAGTTCTTCATTACGTTCAACTAGTTCAACTGCTCTATCATTACGTAACTGAATCACATGTCCAATAGCATTACGCATATCTTCTAATTGTTTTGTTGTTTGTACAATAATATTATTTTGTCGCTTAATTGCTTGTTTCATTTGTTCACTTTGAACTTCATCATTTCGAATGGTACAACTCTATAAAATGAGAAAAAAAAAAACGTTAAGAAACAGAAACAACACACTTTTTCAAAAAAAAGAAATGAGTGCATAACAAGCATATTTCGTCGGTAGAGTATAAAATGTTGAAGGAGAAAAGTTATTTCAATGGTTAGCCAAGTATAAAGCACTTCAGTACTATCAGTGAACTCATTAACAGACTGATACTTCTTGAATACCTGCCTGAATGAGTTACACAACTTTGATACCCTTTGGTAGATTTGTTTGAATACGCATACCTTTTATTTTCTGTTACTTATTACGAAATCATATATAATGTGAGCGAAGAAATATTTCTTTTCAATTAGTTCCTCATCAATGGCTCTACACTAATATAGCATTTTCAAACGTAAAATTACATACCAATCTAGTGATGAGAGTTGTTCAGTGAAAGGTTATCAATCTCAAAGACTACTCTAAGACTACAATTTCGAGGTGACATCATCAGCGAAATTGTGACACAACGCTTAAGAAATGTCATAAGAAGATCATTTAATGCCGCCAAGTTATGTTGTGTTTTCTACAGCCGGCCGATGATGACCACACGAACTAAAGACAGACTCCCTGACTTCTCCTCTTCTATGTGCATTTACCAGTTCAACCGCTTCTGTGGAGCTAGTTACATTGGACGTACAGTTAGGCAAGTCCGTCGTCGAATTGCCGAGCATCATCCTTCATGGCTAAGTAAGGGGGAAACCATACTGACACGAAGCTCAATACTCTCTCATCTGATTGACACCGGCCACCGAGTTAACATTCATAATGCCTTTAAAGTTATTTATCACATTCCTTCTCACCTCACCCATCCTCTACGAGTCCGTCTTTTACATACAGCAGAAGCCATAGGAATCCACCTACACAAGTCTGTGTGTTCAGAAGAGATTCGTACAGCCTCTTTCTTTGCCTTGGCCATCTGTATAGCTCATTTATTACAACAAGACTCTTCATTTCATCCACCACACAATTCACTATAACTAGTATTTCAATAGCTCCATTATTATTATTATTATTATTATTATTATTATTATTATTATTATCACCTTTCTCTCCCCCTACTGTCTCTAATTACAGTCAACAATTTACCATTTTACGTAACAGTTCATTTTTGCTCTTTAGTTATCATTATATAAAATATCAATTATGTAAGAACCTGTTCACAAAATCTTTCTACGATAATTAATCTTTGCTTTAGTTAACTGTCTTAATTACCTGACCAATTATCACCTTCTTGAAACTTTGAGATTGATAACCTTTCACTGAACAACTCTCATCACTAGATTGGTATGTAATTTTACGTTTGAAAATGCTATATTAGTGTAGAGCCATTGATGAGGAACTAATTGAAAAGAAATATTTCTTCGCTCACATTGTTTGTTTTACTAAATGTCTAAATGGGAATTTTTGCATTACTGAAATCATATATGATTGCATTGTCACAACTCTATTGTTCAACTATGACGCTCACGTTACTGTAGCAATAATATGCGTAGAATACATATGAAAATCGTTCATTCTAAATTCATCATCATCATCATTATATGAAAACCTGTTAATGACCAGCATACACTTTATGATTGTCTAGGTTATTTGTATGATTATGCAACAATAATGACTTTGTAAGGTGAAAGTTGAAAGCCTTAGTAGCATATATCACCTGAAAATGTATAATTGTGATGTGAGTGAAACAAACAATAAAATGAATGATGAATAAGGACAAGATATGTATCAGTGAAGAAGTGCTTCTTTTCAACAACGTCATTATCAAGCTACAAAGTTGTATTTATACTCGATAAAATGTCAGATAATTGCACTAAAATGTTACTCAGTCAATATACAAAATATACAATAGGTGTTGATGGTGAGATTTATTCATGTGGAAGAAATAGTAAAATGGGTCAGTGAAGAATAAGGAACGAAATCATGACAAGTGATGAAATAAAGGACAAGTGCTGTCAAAGAAGTGTAAAATGATGATAATGATGATGATAATTTAACTGAAGGATACACGATGATGTGAAATGAAATTGATAAAATAACCGGAATGAATTGTGAAGGTGAAGGTGGAGAAGGTGGTTTCACAAAATGTTTCTGGAACTCAAAGTTTCAGTTTTGTGATCATGTATAGTTAATGAACCTAAGGAGTAGTTGAATTTAACTGTATAAATTACCTTGAAGGATGAATCTCGAGAAGTTGAGTTACTTAACTCTTCCACGTGTTCACACTTGAATGAAGTTGTATTTCTTCGATTGCCTTTGGTAAGCCTAACCATGTAATGTTCAGAAACGTATTTTCTGTGAGACGGTTCTCAATTTCCGATATATTCAGCTCCATAGAAGCATGTAACTTTGTAGATACACATAGATGTGGACATAAATGGCAGCCTATCCTTCTCGCATTATCGAACCAGGTTACGTCTGGGGAAAATCAATCTCAGTCTAGCAGCATAAAAGACACTATTGATACACTTTGATAGACGACTTTTCAGCACCTCCACTATGGTGTCCCATTTTGAATTCCAGATTTATTATTATACTTTTTGTATCAATACATCTTTTAGGGTATCCATTATTCAACAGTGATGTTCTAAGTTTCATCTTCAACATCCATCGTGTCTTCTAAACAGACTTTATAGATTCTAGAACTCAATGAGTGAATAAGATTTCGTTTTACTACTAAGAGGTACCCAAAAATTAAAGTTAGTGAACTGCTCAATGCAAATGGTTTCACAACAGACTAACCTTTAAATTGAGCCATCATCTTCTCTCTTTAACATCACGTCTTGTAAATGTGAACGCCTAATAGATCTAGGTTATTCACCTCCTTGAGATTCATCCTTCAAGGTAATTTATACAGTTAAATTCAACTAATCCTTAGGTTCATTAGCTATACATGATCAGAAAACTGAAACTTTGAGTTCCAGAAACATTTTGTGAAACCACTTTCTTCACCTTCACCTTCACAATTCATTCCGGTTATTTTATCAATTTCATTTCACATCATCGTGTATCCTTCAGTTAAATTATCATCATCATTATCATCATTTTACACTTCTTTGACAGCACTTATCCCTTATTTCATCACTTGTCATGATTTCGTTCCTTATTCTTCACTGACCCATTTTACTATTTCTTCCACATGAATAAATCTCACCATCAACACCTATTGTATATTTTGTATATTGACTGAGTAACATTTTAGTGCAATTATCTGACATTTTATCGAGTATAAATACAACTTTGTAGCTTGATAATGACGTTGTTGAAAAGAAGCACTTCTTCACTGATACATGTTCTGATTTATGAATAAGTAGGTATATTTCGTTGAATAGCCCAAGAAGTCTTCAAAAGTGGGTGGAATTTTATTCAGAACGCTTCAAGTTACAATTTAGCTGAAATTATGTCTTGTACTCAATGGTAAGTCATCTATGGAATCGTATAGTAACTCCATGATTGCACTAATCTGAACCATCGATAGCTTTTGTACTGAACGGGTTATGTAAGACACTAAAAGGCGTGAAACACCTTCCTTCTATCCTTTTAAATCGATATTGTCAGTTAGGGAGAGTTGAAATATTCTGTTATTTTCCTTCAATCACCAAAGATGCTTTGTCACTAGCCTGTAGGAGATATAACTCCGCTATGTGATAGCATACACTCTGCTGAAATTTATTTACTGAATTTAAGATTAGAATTCTTAGGTATGAAGCATGCATAATTCACATCATTCCGTACGAATAACAAAAAACTGCCGCCAGCTTTCATCATTCGTAGCGGAATGCCGAAAGTAGTAAAATCTATCTACTTTTAGAACAGCTTTCTGAATGCTAATATTGACATAGCAAACCACTTGGATACGAAAAAAGGGGAAAAAGGTATTCTAATGTATGGGAACGGTTTTAAATATAATAGTCTTCATATGGATTCGTAAGGTCAGATATACGTGGTTCAACAGTTGTTTTACGAAACCGAGAAGCCCAAAGAAGATAATATTTGACCATTTTCAACATCTTACCATCTTCTGTATATTACTGCTTTCATTTGATACCAACACTCTATAAGTTTGTCAGGGTATATTTATGCTCAGAAAAGGCTGTTATTAACCGTCTCGTCTTCTCGAAAGACCCTATTTCGTTGGTTCAAAAACGCAACAGTCAGTGAATCTCAGCTATTTGATCAACATCCTACAGATCATGGGTTTCAGTATCAATTTTATTTGAACAGTAGAATGGTAGTTAGTGATAACTTTCTAAATAGATCCCATGTGATCACTTTACATTTCTTGATTACTCATCTGTTTTGATCTCTTCCTTTTTTGGTAACATCATGATTCTGTAATATTATAAAGCCGATTTCGAATTCATAACCTACTGGTAGGAAGTTAAAAGGTTGGATCGATAAACCATAGCCCAAGAACATACAAATTATATAGTCTCTTTACTTCTAAAAGGTTTTTCAAGCGGAAGAAATTTCTTTCACTATGCTTTCACTTACACTCCTATAGCTTTGAAGGTGAAACCTGTAGAGATTTCTATTGGTAAGATCAGACAAACATTAAATCTGAACTGATGTACTAACGTGAAGCAGAGCATGGAAAGAAAACTACTCTTTTTATCTTGTTCCTAAACTCTCACTGAAAGGTGAACGACTATTCGTTTGTTTGTATTAATAATTTCTCTCGAGTTTTGTATATCATTCCATGCATTTTGTTATGTGCCATTGTGATACTATTTGACTACTTTGAATCTGCCTGGCACTGGAGATTCGATGAGTAGGAGTTTACTATTTTAACAAACAACTCAGCTCCTTTTATGCATAGTAAAGCGTAATACGTAAAACAAACGTATTTTGATGGTATTGCGTTTTCTGAGCTGGATGATTTACTCTTGAAGCTTTCATTGTCATTCTAAAGAATGTCATCAGCATAAACTTCAAGAAGTGAGCTGAAGGGGTTCTTTCTACACGTGGCTTAATAAACGTAAACATAACATGTGTAAACTGATTTGGATGCTTGATTCCTGTCCTGTCGATGGTTGTGCATTACAGAATGTCACATGTGTTTCTCTTCGAACCCTTCCCAACCCTCCCATTTCTCACTAATTTCCGAAAGATGCTTCCACCTAACGTACCATACTAAGAAGCTGAGAGTATCTGGTATAACTCAGCCTCTCCTCTTGTGTTTTATAAACTTCAGCATCTTTTCTGTTCTTCTCTATTCTTCCCTTTTATTTTTTCCCGGGTTGCTGAAAAAGACTTTGTTGAATCACGTAGAACTTTGAAGATTGTCACCAGAACTAGTGGCATACCTTTAGACCTACTAATTGACACCGTTTTAGACAAACATCTGGCAAGAGTTTTTTGTTAAATGATCAGCCTCCTCATCACTCAAAGCTTTTTGTGTATTAGTCATCAGGAAAGACAAGCAGCAAGTATATGAGACTTTTAACATTTATTGTTAAGTATAAAAATTCCACAATAACGTGTTCGGTTTATATCCTGTGCTAGGAAGAAGGCATTAGAAACTAACTAACTAACTGATCAACTTTTGCTGTTGAAGGCAAACTAATTAGAGAGTATACAGCTTAGTGTTATTTGTGGTATTATGGACCTAACTGGTAATATGACTGTTAACCCAAATTGTAGATGGAATAACTATTCTTATTTTCTGCATATAATTTACACTGATTTCATATAACCTGTTTCTATCCAATTGATGCTATATAACATGTCGAAAATTGTGTACAGCATTTACAAAATATCTTTCAGAATAATGTCATTATTATTAGCTTGTCCTGATGATCCTGTGTATGATTGGTTATTTCTGCCAAAGTCTTCTCATTGCCTGATTATTTGTTGAAATTGGTTATCTAGCTGACATGAACTTTGACTTTTTGGTTGTTGTTGTTGTTGTTTTAAAATCATCCTCTGAAGCTACAATTATTCCCTATCCTCTATTGAAAAGTAAATTTATATTCTATTTCCTCTTGACAGGCATGGATAACAAATGGTACAATCAGCTTCAATATAAAGTCAACAAATAGTTTCAAAATTTAATCGAGTGAGTTTGTTTTCTGAAACGTTGACATTTAAAGAATTCCTTTAATATGATCAGTAGAGTGATTGATTTAAATTTTCTAGTTGTACACCATTGAACTGTCAGAAAGTTACAATGATTTTAAAAGTGAAAATCTGTAACCTTAAGATACAATACCATAGAAGTCAACGATTAAGTTCTTTACTGGAATGATTAAATTATTAAATGAAGATAATCATTTAATCATGAATTGACTTACCAATTTAGAAATCTCATTACGAAATATATCACGTGTTGCAATAGATTTTTCAATTTTTTTCTTTGTTTATCTAATAATTCTTTTTTATGCACCAAATTAGTCTGTAATATTTCAATTTCATTTGTAGAAATACGCATTTTTTCACTTAATTCTTGTATATGTTGATTTGTAATTTGTATGAGACTTAAACAATTATTACGTTCTTCTTTTATTGTTTCATAGAGTTGAGCAAAATCTTTCAATTTTCTCTTTATAATCAGAAAGTGGTAAAATAATAAAGTTAGTGCAAAAATCATATTCCAATGAAAAAGGAAGTAGAGAAAAAAAAACAGCTGAAAGAATGCTTGTATCGGTCAATTTTACCGCTTTTCAAGAATTCTATTTTCCTATTGGTTAATTTTCTGCTTTTAATATCCTATTTTGGCTGTTCACCCCAAGGTCATATACATTGTGCATAAAACTGTGTTGTGTCCCTGGATTGATACCTTCATACATACTTTCAATTGAGGTAAACTCAGTCTAGTTCAGTCCACTTGTCAATTATCGTATCGTACATCCAATAACTAGGTTATGCGTCCCCAATTAACTGTATGCGAGAGGATCAGTAATCCCTGACATGTTTAAATTGTGTGTTAGGAAATATTTGTAGAGAAAGCCTATTTACGCGTATATCAACTTCATTTCAACACTGACAAATATAGCATCAGTGGAATTCTTACTTCATTAATACACAACAAAACCAAATAACTAACTAATCCCTAAGTGAGGCGAATAGCTGACAATATCTTGCTGTCGACAACGTTATAGTTGGTATTTTTTCTAGTAGAAGTCATGAAACTGGTGCTTACAAGAAGGATGTTTATGGTTGATTGGGTGATGATACTCAATTATTTCTAAATTGTGTTGCAAACTGAGTCCTTCACAATACTACATTCTAGTTGTTGATATCTTAACAATAAAACTTTAAGACACTAAGCTCTATCCCATACTGAAGTGACTGTTCTCAACACAAGTAGTCCTACTTAGAAAGTAGAATATACCTTTGTATGATAAAATGTTTTAGTCAATGAGAACAAATATAAGTATTGATTAGTTTTGATAATTACCTGTGTTCCACTGAATGATTTTTCATATTCATGAATTTGTAATTGTTTCAATTTAATATCATCTTGTATACGTGTGTAACGTGATTGTGCAATTAAAAAATCTCTTGATTTTTGTTCACGTTCCTCTGATTTAAGTGTAACCAATCGGATTAATTCTACAAGTTCAACACGTAAATTAGCCAAATCATAATTCATTTGATCAACTTGTTGTAGACTTTGACGTAGTTTAACTTGTTCAAGTTCAGTTAATTGACACTTTTTGTATGATAAAACAAAAGAAATGTTTATATATTAAATAAATCGAGGTTTTGTAGAGTAATATTCATTATGGATGCGAATCAGTCGGGGAATCATTAAAAACCTCAGAGCACTGGATAGCTGTTTCATCCTATTATGTGACTGAACAACATTACGCACCTATGATTTCTTTAGGAATCGAACTCATGACCTTAAGTTTTCCCGGCGGACCCGTTAACCATTCTGTCAATGGGTTGAAGTCCAGTGGTCTATAAGACAACTATCCACCAAGGTTTTCAGCTGGTATCCGCTTCACTTCTGACTAGTTGACTCCATAAGTCATGGCTTCTTATGAGAATTTCTGAATATCTATCTCAAATCATGCCACCGATGAGCACTGTGCAATGACGATTATGTATCGGTTACATCAATCATTTTAGAAACACATTCTTCAGTATTTCGATGAAACTGTTTGAGCTAATCTTTGAATAACAGACTGATCTTATGCAATGGGGGGGGGGTGAATGAAGGCAAAATAAAATCCTGAGTCACATTACTTTTCAAACATCTAGGTTGCTGGTCAATCATTAATCCAATAAACCTAATAGTACAACTTTAAAAGGTTTCAGATTATAAACTAGAAACTTTCCACTAGCTACAGATGCCAAGAAAGAGAGTTTTTACTAATTTAGGGGTTTCAGGTTGGCATTCATTGTGGATTGACACTAGTTGGAGGAACAGTACGTCAGTACGTTACCATTTAGCCAGTTGGTCAGAACTCATTGGTCCATATTTCCCACTTCTGTCAGTTCATTATATAGCAAAACCTCCATCTAATGACGTCGTTGAGTAAATGTCCTCATGTTCGACTTAGTTAGCCTCACCAGTCACGACTCCTTATTGAAACTTCGAGAATATCCTATCGAAACCAGTCATCAACGAGCACTTGGTTAATTTGACATCGAGGTGGTCATTGATGACTGGTTTCAACAGGTGATACCCGAAGTTTCAATAAGGAGTCGCGACTGGTGAGGCTAACTAAGTCGAACATGAGGACAGTTACTCAACGACGTCATTAGATGGAGGTTTTGCTATATAATGAACTGACAGAAGTGGGAAATATGGACCAATGAATTCTGATCAACTGGTTAAATAGTTAACATGCTGGCCGCGGGACTTGAAAGCCCTAGGTTTCACAACTGAGGGGGGGGGTCATGGCTGTGCACTGCTGAGGAGTCCCATCCTAGGACGAAATAATTATCAAGTGCCTCAACTTTTCCAGTTTTTCCCCAACTGATATCCATCCATGATGAATACCAACCTGAAGTCAATAAATCACTTCAAAATCAGATTAAGACAGAGATAAGCGGTTCACACTGTAGTTTTATTAACTGCCGGTGTCCAATATTTTGCCATGTAGGCTTAATATAGGACTTTACATTGGAAATATGAACAAAAACGAAAAGAAGTGAAACGAAATACAAAATTACTTATTTCACATACAACGTTTGAACTGAATCATGACAATTAACATCAGTCAAGTTACATAGATCTAACATGGGAACATGCCGGATATCAGTAGTGCATTTTTTCTCTCTCCAAACCTATCTAAGCGAAGTAATACAGTCAAATTTGATCTTAAAACTTAAGAAGGAAAAACAACAAGAAACGACTTAGTTTTAAGGTGGAAGCTTATCATTCATACAAAGAATATACTACCCAATTAGATTCATTATTGGGGCAAAAGCAAAACCCATACTCCAACATAAACATCATTAGTATATAGAAGATGATTATGTTACAGCCCGTTGTGCATACTAAGTTACATTTGTGTAAGATGATACGTACATTCAGAGAAGAAATAAAACTATCTAGTCGAGGGTGAGGGGAACGAATCACCAAATTACCAGAGAAATAATTAAATCCAGATAGTCTAGTAAGTACATGGGGTCGGTAGACTCCATCATTTGCAAGTAAACATATCATGGAAAAACATCACAGGATTGACCGTAAAACAACCTTTAGACAACTAAATAGGAGCTGTCAATATAGTATACTCAGTGTAAGAGTAAAACTTTGTCACTGTGGGAGTGCATAAATCCATGTTAGACTGTTGGCCGGACAGGAAATAGGAAATAACACTATTTCTCCATTCTCGTTCATTTTACCGACTCATGATTGGTTTTCGTCCATAGGGCCAGCAACCCTACACCTTAAAACCAATCCAATCGCTAAAGAAACTTCAAAGTACAAAGTGAGGACAAAAAATAAAATTAAACTTATTCCTCTCTGGGATCGGGGAGACGAAACGATGCCGGTTGGTGAAAGCCTTCTGGAAGCAAACTGACCGACGTGTCTTCTCACCTTCGATGCCATATCATCCTGGAGAGACCTGAGGACGCGCCGGATTCAAAAACACGACCGGAACAAGCTGGCTTCAGGAAGGATAAATCATGTGCGGATCAAATTTCAACACTACGCATCATAATTGAACAGTATGGAATGGAAGTCAACTCAACTCTACCTCAACTTCATTGACCTTGAAAAGGCCTTCGATCGAGGCGTCAAAGGAGAAGTAATCTGGCAGGCAGTTGCTTCAACACTACGGTTTTATTGCCACAAATCTTTATCAACCTCATTCAACAGCTATATGAAGACGGCACATGCCAAGTGATCCGCAGTGGAAAGCTCAGTGACTCCTTTGAAGCGAAGCCAGGAATAAGTAAGACAAGGCTCCCTTCTATCACTGATGATCTTCCCGATTGTGGTGGACTGGATCATGCAGCAAACCGTAAGAAGAGAAAAGATGGGCGTACGCTGGTCAGACCGATAAAAAGAGCTTAGGCTATCTGGACTTCAACGATGATGATTTATGTCTAGTGTATTGTCACACAAATTCGAAGATGTACAAGCGAAAACCAACAAGTTGGCAGAAAAGGCAAGGTAGTGAAGGAAGACGGGACTTTCTTTAGGTGAACCTAGAGAAGACAGAGGTGATGAAATTCTCTCGTTCACCTACCTGACTAGGTAGCATCGTTTCAACTACAGGTGGTACAGATGAGAGCGTCAAAACCAGGTTCGGAAAGACAGCAAGACAGTCCTTCATTAGTCTAAAATAATCAGTGTGGAGATCTACTGCAGTGCACTGTAGTCAGCATGAAGCGTGAACTAGATCCGGATTTTCAGTGCCAATGTCAGTCAAGTCAGTGCTTCTATGTAGTGGTTCAGAAATTTGGCGCGTTACGAAAAGCATTTCCAACAAACTACAGACATTCGTCAACAACTGCCGCCTACTCTCACTCGATACTGAAGATCAAATAGCCAGAAAGAATAAACAACAAGAAACTATGAGCCACAACGAACCAACCAAGAACTCATCGTCCAACAAATATGCAGAAGAAAGTGGAGATGGATTGAGCATATACTGAGAAGACTGTTCGGGGACATCAGGCATCATCCGAAGCCCTCGATTGGATCCCGTATAGGCGTACGAGAGTGACACAGAGGAAATAGTGTGAGGAAGAAATGAAAGGTTGTGGTTAGTCGTGGAGCCAGGTTGAAGAAAATGCAAAGAAGAGTGCAGTGGCGACGTCCTACTGAAGCCCTATGTTCCACTAGGAACCGAACAGATAGATAATAATTATAATAAATTAAATCGAATTATTCGTTATCTGAACTTGATATCTTGGTTCATGTTTTAAGACTAAGAGGGTGATTTACAGATTATTGTCCTCTGGGAAATAATAGATAGAAGTTTGCACCATTATTATTTTTTTCTTGGGGTCCTTCGTTGTCACAAGTGATCGAATGTCAGGATAGATAGGAAATCACACGAAAATCAGGCAGTTTAAGTTCCGGACTGTGTCAAATAAGTAACAGACATAATTGTTGTATAACGGTGTACAGTAATTACTGAGAACGTATCACTTTTTGCTGACAGTTGTTCTGTGAAAAAGTCAAACTACAAACTCATTGGAAAAATATTTAAAGTAAAATTATCCAAACGATCCAGATACGGTGAAAACACTTCGAGATGTCGAGGTAAACAAAGTGATCTACAATCACAACATGCAAGTGATGTATATTTTCTATGAGAAAGTTTAATGAAAGATGGGTTACAATATCAGCCGAATAGATAACGGCGAACGCCATCGGATAGTCAACTACTTCACGTCACCACAAACTTCAAACACTGTCTGTCCACCAACTTCAACTAAACGGTGGACACAGATAGACAATACTGTTTTCAGTTATCCTTGAAGTATGTCATTGGAAGATATTAGCTGCTTTCGGGGAAGATATTTAAACAATAATCTGGAATCGGTTTAACTTCGTCTACTTCTACGCTTAAACAAGCGTAGAAAAACTATATTTACCAAAATGTTCTGATTTTGCCTCTAATATGAGAACAGAATGATAAGACCACTTCAATGAAGAACTCTTTCATCAGTTATTGCAACATGACGAATTCACTTCAATGAAAGAAACCTGATGTCATCTTTAGTTCACTATGATGACAGAATTGAAGAGCGTAATTGATCCTCATGACAATGTAGAAACAGGTCACTTGATTTTTACCAACTGTTGCTATTTATACTACTGGGATGATATCCAAATGTCTCTTAAAGTCTGAATGTACAGTAGTTTGATTCTTACTGTTTTGCTCTATGGTTTCGAATAGTGGCGATTAAAGGTTCGAGATATCATCAAGCTTCAGGTGTTCAATCACCTTAGCCTTCATTGTAAAGACTAATATGATGCTATGTCAAAACATCAATAACGTAAACGTCAAGCGTAACGTTTTACGAAAAAAAAATTTAATTGGTTAGTTTGTATACTTTCATAAACTCAGATGGTTGTAACGTATGTTAAGCATATTTAGTCACTGTCATCTATCCCGTTGATTAATGTTAGTTGTACAAGGTTTATTCATTCAAGGAGTTCCTGTGCCAACAGAGACTGATGAATTTCGATGCCATACACATATAGATACATACATTCATAAATTAATTCTCATACTTACTTGACTTAACAGTAATTCTTTAAGTTTTTTTATATCATTAGTTAAATGTGTACGTTTCTTTAGTAATTCAGTATCTTCATCAGTTTGTTTCATAGATAAACAATTCATATGTTTTTCAGAACAAGTTTTCATATTAAATTTAACAGATTCTTTAAGTGTTTGTAATAAATTTTCAGCTTTACGAGCTTTTCGAACATATAATTCACGTGTACGTGTTTGACGAGTAACACGATCAGTTAATTGTAGAAGTTCTTGTTTTAAATGATCCATTTTTAAGTCAGTCTCCGTTCTAAATTATTTACAAAAAGAAAAAAAACACACAATAAAGATACATTATTAATGTTGTTACTTGTATTATCCCGTTATTGGTTGAACCGAAGCCCATTAAAGACTATACTTGTCATATCATCTATCTAAATATTTATCAAGAATTTTGAAACTGTTCCAACAGGAAATTTCGTCAGATATTTAAAATGTACAGGATTTCAAAAATAAACTGTTGAAATAGGAGAGGAAGAAATTATGACAATTTTTCATATAATTTCTCTGTTCGCTAGTGTATTAATGCGTGAATGTCTAGATATTGTATGAATTACTATAAATAATAACCAAAATATGTTATATCTGAATGTTCACTTTCAATGGAGGATATCATAAAATCATTGTAGCTATGCTTAGAATCTACATATTTCACGGTTAAAGATACAATGTATCAGCAGTCAAATGGAGTTGGAGAGGGTTCACCAGCATCTCCAACTGTGGCGAATCTCTGTATGAAAGCTCTAAAAGATACAGTCTAAAAAGGTGTCCACTGTCAACCCAGAATTCGGTATAGATATGTAGATGATACATTTTTCATTCTTAAGAAAGCAAACCAATAGGAATTCCTAGAACATATAAATTCTATTTGATATTCCATTAAATTCACTAGTGAAATAGAATCTAAGGATGAAACTCTAAACGTTTTGCTGATTGTCTGATCCAAACAACAATTGAAGGCAAATTTAGTGTGGAAATGTACAGAAAACCAGCATATTCAATCAGATCATTCAACTAACGTAAAGGTTAGTGTCACATTAAAGCTACTAAACAGAGTGAAAAACATTGTAAACTATCCTGATGATTTGAAAAATAAAATCTTTAGAATAAAACAAGTTTTAATGGAAAATAGATACCTTAAAACGTTTCTGAACAGTATTATTGGCCAAATGAATAAAACATCAAGTACTACAAGTAATAAAGGTATAACAAAATCATGGGCATCATCTGTGAAGATAACATAGCGGAAATGTACTTCTGGACAGATTAAAAAAGTATCCTCCTCATATGGTATTAATTCTGTTTAAAACCTTCAAATTTACTGGAAAAGATCTTAATCAGAAGGAAATATGCAGTTCCTAAGATGACTCACAACAATTATGTCTACAAAATTAAACGTTTAGAATATGAAGCTAATTACGTTGGGTAAAGTTACAGACCCTTAAAAGTCAGGGTGAATGAACACAAGTGATATACGAAACATCCACCGGGAAACCAAGATAAATTAAAATATTTAGGAAAGCGATCGGTAATAGCTATGAATGCAATCGAAAGTTGACACATAACTGACTCTGAGAATGTAGACATTTAGGAAGAGGTTTCTATTCACATAAAAAAAGATTAACTTCCAAAGCGTTGCATATTTTAGCAACATTAAATGTTATCGACAAAAAAGAAGGAATAGACTTGTCATCTATTTGACAAACATTAATCCGCAAAAATCATTAATGACGACTATTTCAAATTGAACCTCGCCCGGTCGTAAGGCCGGGTAAAGAGGGAAGGTTGGGCAGAGGGCCAACAACCCTACCCCGTAAAACCAATCCAATAGCTACAGAAACTTCAAAGGACAAACAAAATATAAAAAGTAAAAACAAACTTATTCCTCCCTGGAATCGGAGAGACAAAATGACACCACTTGGTGAAAGCCTTCGGAAAGCCATTCAGCCTATGTGTCTCCTCTCGATGAAAGCGAAAGTAAACATGGGGACATGGAATATCCGCACTATGTTTGGACCTGGCAAGGAGTACTACAAACATTTATCAACGTCATTCAACAACTATATGAAGACGCATGCCATATGCCAGACAAGTAATTCACAATGGGAAGCTCAGCTCAGTGATGCCTTTGAAGTGCAGACAAGAAGGAGTGAAACAAGGTTGCCTACTGTCCCCCATGATATTCCTGATTGTGGTCGACTGGATCATGCAACAAACAGTGTGGAGCGAAAAGAGGGGGACACACTGGACCGAGGAAAAGATCCCAGAAGATTTGGATTTCGCCAACGACGACTTGTAGCTAATGTCACACAAACTTGAATATCTACAGGCGAAAACTAACAAGTTGATAAAAGAGGTGAGGCAGCAAGACTGGAGTTCAAGTGAATGTGAAGAAGACAGAGGTGATGATGATAACCAACCAACGCCACCACCAACAACAACAAGCTCCAATCACCATCAACAGGAGAAACGTAAAGGAAGTAGCCTCTTTCACCTATCTAGGCAGCACCGTTTCAACTACAGGCAGCAGTGGTGGCACAGACGAGGACATCAAAGCCAGTCAGGATCGGAAAAGCAAGACAGGAGTTCATTAACCTGGAACCAGTGTGGAGATCTTCCGCACTCAGCATAAAGCGTGAACCATATCCGGATTTTTAACACTAATGTCAATCGAGTCAGTGCTTTTGTATGGTTCGGAGACTTGGAGCGTTACGAAAAGGATTTCCAACAAACTGCAGACACTCATCAACAACTGTCTACGCTGGCTCGTTATTGAAGATCAGATAGCCAGAAAGGATAAGCAGCAATGAACTCTGGCTGGTGCGAACCAAGCAAGAACCTATCACCCATCAAATATGCAGAAGGAAGTGGAGATGGATTGGGCATGCACTGAGAAGACCATTCGGGGACATCACGTGCCAGGCACTCGAGTGGAACCCAGATGGGAAACGGCGAGTTGGGCGTCCAAGGTGAGGGTGATATGAAGGAGATCGTGTGGGGAAGAAATGAAAGCTTGTGGGCAGTCGTGGAGTGGGGTTCAGAAGATTGCAGAGAACAGAGTGGAATGGTGACGTGGTACTGAATCCCTATGTTTCACTAGGAACCCAAGTGACAAATAATAATACTAATAATAATTTCGAATTGAAGGTACAATAATAATAACAATTACTGACGGTTTAGAAATAAAAATACAATAAACAACATACATAAACACACACACACACACTTTGACTATCCTGCATATTCGTCAACAAATGTCAATAACAAGCATGAACTAAGCCTAATTACTCAGGTTGGACACGAAAATCCCCCAACTAATGATTTACATTCATTAAATACGTTTGATGCATCATTCGACTGTATATTTTGATGTGCCTTACACACAGAAACGCTCAGAAATATCTTGTTTTGATTTTCTAAACACGCTACGATTATATTAAAATATATTCTTATAATAATTTAATCAGATTCGGTGATCAACTTCTTCCAGGACATTCGTAGCAACTACGGACTGGATATTTATAATTTCCCGGAATATCTGCATTAATTTACGCTACGAATTATAACATTATGCATTATTCACACTAGTTAATGATTGTCATTCTGACTATCTGAGATAACTGTGGTTTGGTAGACTTGTATCGCTGGTCGCTGGTTCGAATTCGGTCGCGGTTCAAATTTTCATTTCACCTTCGATCATCACCCAGCATCAATACTAGTCGTCAAATCATGGCTATCTCACATAGTCAAAATAATAACCAATAGAATGTTCCCCCTCTTTAACTGAGTTAGATTTGGATTTAGATTAGAAGTCCTGACTGGTATGAGTACAATCAAGCCATAGTAAAGCGTCACGAATTCACATGGTAGTTAAACAAAATACTTAGTGATTGAAGTAAAATAAAAAACTTGTCAGTAGTTGTACCTCGTAGATCATTTGGCAGAATATTGGGCTGAAAATCCGGTGGTTGTTGGCTTGAATCTGGCCATAGTCTAAAGTTTCTTTTCATCTTCAATCATCATATGGGATCAATATTAGTTGAAACAGATGTATGTGATCAAAAGAATATCAGAAAACCCTTAGTCATGAAATAATCTTTATGACCGAATTATTTATACGGTAAGTTGTATTGACTGTCTCTTTTAGTCAAACATTTAAACGACTGATATAGTCTTTTGAATCAAACCTCAGTAGGTAGAGCGGGGACTCGAACCCATAGTTCATTGGTTCAAAGTCATCTCTCTAAACCAATGAACATAATGGATATAATTCACTAAGCAAAGATATGTGTATTTTGTAGGGAATAATAATGACTTACTTTTTCAATGTCATTTCAGTATTTTTCTGTTCCAATTCATGAATATGCATGTTGACAGCTTCATACTGAGATTGTAAATCATTTAGCTTTTTCTGCTTTTTAGCTGATTGACTAGAGAAGAGAAAATAAGAATGAAAAAAAGATTCATATATTCTACTAGTCACTAATTCAATAATAATCCGAAAAAGAATCTATGGAACTGATGTTGTTCGAAGTCATTCATGACCGTATTAATCTATGGATAAATTGCAAACTTTACTACTTGGTACTTTAGTTCAATTAGCCAGAAAATCTACCGTTTTCATTGATGCCACATTTACATATGTAATTCATTTAAATTTCATCATTCTTAAAACAGACTTTTGTTAATACAAGTTTTTATTTTTGTCTTCTTCTGAGATCACTAAGGCTTCTTGTTCGGTGGTGCGAAATATTCCCACAAAATCAGGTCCTTTTTTCAGCACCGATATATACATATATTTCTATATGGTTCAGAAACTTGGCACGTAACGGAAAGCATTCCCAACAAACTACAGATATACATCATCAGCAGCCGCCGCCTACGCTCACTCGATACTGAAGATCAGAAGGCCAGAAAGAATAAGCAACAAGGAACTTTAGCTTGGCAATGAACTAACCAAGAACCCATTGCCCAACAAATATGCAGAAAAAATTGGAGATGGATTCGGCATACATTGAGGAGACCTTTCAGGGAGGGACATCACACTACAGGCCAGGTCGTCGAATTGAAGCCAAAGGGGGAACAACGAGTTGGGCATACGAGGAGACAGTGATACGGAGGAGATGGTGTGAGGAAGAAACGAAAGGCTGTGGGCAGTCTTGGAGGCAGATTGAAAAGACTGCAAAGAAGAGAATTATATGTTGATGTGCTACTGAAGCCATATGTTCCGCTAGAAACCCAAGGGACAAATATATATATATATATATATATATATATATATATATATTCATATTGCAGCTTTCATGATTTTTTTTATAAGTCAAGTAGTGAATCTTAGTTTTTGCAGACATCAATAAAATCTCTAGAAGTTGGTTTTCCACTGCCCTTCGGTACTTTATGAGTACTCAGAGAACCTTCGTTACCCAAATCCTAGTTGACAGGTTTGTTGTCTTGTAAGTGAACATACAAAAATCAATTTAATGAGTTCAGTGGAATTGCTATGTTTCATCAGAATGAATTTGATATCATAATGTGACCGTAGTTATTTATCGCTTATTAATACCATTTGTAAATAAATCACTTTCGAAGAGTACATATCTATAAATTGGAGTGATTCAATTTACAAGTTCGTGAGAACTTATCAAATTCAAGTTCGTATTCATCATGGACTGAGATTAGTCGGAGAAGCATTGTAAATCTGAGAGCACTGAACAGCTGTTTCGTTGTAGTATGGGACTCCTTAACAGTGTGCAGTAGTTGAAAATCACACCATATTATCAATTGAAAGAAGTAAGAAAATGTGAACAGTAGGAATCTGACCCACTGGCTCCATGATAAGTTGCCTAGTGCAAAGCCTGAAGGTCTTGGGTTCAAGCCGTAGTGAGGTCATAACTGTTCATTGCTACGGGGTCCCATAATAGGATAAAACAGCTTTCTTGTGCCTCCAGGCTTCGAAAAGTCCTCAAACTGATGGATACGAACATAAAACTGAGGCTAAAGAAATTATTTCCAGTAGATTTTGTATATTCTTGGGGATGAGGATCATTATACTGATATGGTGCAGATAGATACACAACTCGACAGTTTAAACTCTTGAAAAAAAAAAGAATTGTAAGCTCAGCTGGCACTCCATCGACTACAGCATGGGCAATTAGCTTATACTCTGAAGCTTTACATAATAAGTGATTCTTATAATCTGATGCAAAAAGCTATACCAGTATGAATAGTATCACTCTAGTTTCAGTTATGTATAGTAATGATGGGCAGTGGGTAGCAGTAGAATCCAGGATGAGCATTTTATCCTATTTGGGACTTGTCAACTGGATTAGCTGCTTCCCTGTGAGTGATGTTGTTCCCACTGGGATTCAGCGACGTTGTAATACAAGCAATAACACTATTACTCTAGTTTGTTTACTGTTTACAGTGGGAGTAAAGACTAAAAACACAATAATCATTGGAGTAATGAGGGTTAATAATATTATAACTTACTTTTGTAGTTTCACACTTTCTAGATCCAACTGCAAGCCAAGTGACTTTAATGTTTTCATTTCTTCTTGTAATTTACAGTGTTCAGCTAATGTTTCTGATTTCAAACGATCTACTTCCCTAAAATAATCAAATCTTTCTCAATTTTTAATCACTTTTTATAGAAATAATTTTCAAAAATGTGAGGAATGGGATGTAAATTATAGGGGGGAAAAAGGCTGAATTGTAGACAAAGACAAAGACAATTTGAGATGAGTTAGGATCATAATTTCTGATTGATGAGATGTTCATCCAAAGATATTGTGTATGATTTCACAGTCTGGTTGTCAATGCTTCTCCTTACCTGTATGGTATATCATTTTGGTAATGTATTGTAACGGTATTTGTGGGCAAAAACGATCAGCTCCAGCTGTTTACACGATAATATAAAAATATTTGTAGAGTGTATAAAATTCCATGGCTAATGTGTTACCATTGAATCATTGTGTTGGAAATCAGTGAATCCCTACAAACTTCTAAACTGTATCAAGTTAAACAGTAGTCTATTTGATGGCTAGCAATGGAATGTAAAGTGTGCATTTCGTCCTATTTGGGACTCGTTAGCTAGGTGCATCTGCACCCCAGTGAATGATGTTTATTCCACTGGAACTTGGGCATAGTATCCATCACCTCAAAAGCTAAAACTTCTTCCACTAGGCTACTGGGACGCTCCAGTCACCTCTTGTGTAACGGTATCAATTATTATTACTCACTGATACTTGTAATCCCCCATTATTATTCTGGATAGAATTGATCCACCTCTTTTGTAATATAGGCTTCTACGTAGATGCCAGAATATTACCCAATTATTCGTTATCGTGTAATTTTCTTGGTGGCAGAGAGCAATGGAATCCTTGACATTCGTTTCGTGCTGATGTATCCAGTTGACGAGTCCCAAGTTGAGCGAAACGGTTCCACTGCTAGTTAATACCAAGCAAATTAGGAGGCATGGAATAGATAGGTGACATCAAGGCATGTGCAGAGCTAAATCACTTCAATCCAGAATAACAATGAGAGGATTAGAAGTATCAACAAATAACCTTTTTTAGCATTATCCAAACAACCGAGAATAGAAATCTTCTATAGAAGACTTTTGTTACTTTTTATCTAGGCTAACTAAAATGATAAACATAAAATTGGTGTGATTATTCTTATTGTAATACCTACCAAATGACAAGCAGTCAGCAGTAAGTAATAAATGGTTTAGAAGGAAAACGTTTCGTATGCTTATTGAATATACACCACATTAGTAATAAATTCACTCAGACATGATAATTAAGATATTCTAGTTAGTCTAGTTGGTAGCTAGCGCATTGGTTTTGAAAATAAAAACTTATTGTTGCGCCATTCAAAATACTGGAACTTAGTATACCTGAATGTTATTTTTGGTCACTTGAACTTATCAAAATAGCTTAGCTACAAAATCTACTACTGCTGACCAAGATGAATAGATAGAAACTACTGAGCATGATCTGTACACTTCATCAAACAGATCAATGTGAAAAAAGACTTGATGGTCGTTACCCTCGTTTTGAAAGAAGCAAAGTCATGAAGATAATCTGGCTGAGTTGTGTGGAACGGCGTACCTAAAGTAGGATCATCAATTTGCAAATAATTTAAACATTTTGTGGTCAACGTCGATATTTCTCACAGCTGAGTAGTGTTTCAACTACCCAATTGTGGTGTCGACACCGTTCCCATTAGAAAACTTCCAATTGAGACCTCAAGGTATGACCTCTAACATAAAACTGTTATTAACCCGGAGAAGATACTACTAATGAACACCTTGAGTAGTTAAAAAAATCATTCAAAATAATCTATGGTAATTCGCCAGTTAAACCAAATTGATCTAAAAACCGTTTCACAGCAGAATTCTCTCCTTCATCCAACATAATCACAAATGATGACAATTAACTTCATTAACAGTTTACATTTAAGAAGCGAATAGACAAACGTAGTACTTACTCTTTTTGCCTTTGTAGTTTATCAGTTTCCTTTAGGGCTTGTAATGGTTGAGATTGGATTTCAGCACTTTCTGACTAGAAATAAAAGCACATCCATAGATAAAAGAAACACGCTGTCAACTTCTTATCTTTATGTAGACATAATGACATTCATCTGAGTCTTAAAACACCCAAAAGATATCTTGATTGTATTGTGTTCTCTGAGCTGGATTACTTTAATGGTAGAGATTTCATCGTCTTTCTAGACGATATAATCAGAACTAACTTCAGTATGTAACTCCACGATTAAATAATTCAGCTCAAAGAACACAATACAACCAAGATCATCCACCTGAGCTACAAATATTCTACGTTGAAATGTAGGATATATACTGGTCATGGTATGGTGTCATATGTGTGATTACAATGTCCTATGACTCATTAAATGACGTTTATTCCCTTTAGTGAGGTTTATGCTACCAGGCGGTACCATTAGCATTTACACAATAAGTATAAACAGATACCTAGAGCATAAAGCCATATATGGTAGCTGACATATATTACTAATTGTGTAAATTACTAAGTTATTTTAATGTATATCCCATCTGTATCATTGTATTTTAATTTTCGATTCCGGTTAAAAACTTGTAAAACGCAGTGAATAATGTACATTGTCAAAACAGAGAAAACGGGACTACAACAACATACCGCAGTAAGGAAACTGTCCGCAAGGAAATGGAGATAAAATATGCAATTTAGAACAGTGGTTATTTAATGATTAATTAATTTGCTTGGTTGTGGCTAGCAGAGGAATCCAGAAGGCGCGTTCCCTCTTATTTGGGACTGATCACCTGGATATACTTGCACTCTAGTGCTGAATGCTGCTGTTCCCACTGGGACTTGAACCTCGTACCCATCGCACCAGACACCAAGGTGTTATCTACTACGCCAAGGAGGCATGATAGTCACCTCTTGTACAATGGGTACTAGTAATTACTATTTATTGATATGCTTGTAGTTCTCTGTTGTTTTACTGGACCACATTGTTCCATCTCTATTAGGATACGGGCTCCTATGCAGATTCCTCTGCTAACCACAACCAAATAAATTATCATAATATATATTCAGGCAATGTCGAGGCATCCGCATAGGCCCTCGTATGTCAATAGAAGTCGAATAATTTCATCCAGTAGAACAACAGAGAATTACAAGTATACCAATAATTAGTTATAAGTGAGTAGTTAATTTAGTAGTAATCAGAAAGAAAAATGTAATGAAACAATAATGAATAGAACTCAAGTGACAAAAATCGAAATTTAGAGTTAACTGAAAGTCTAGTGACTGGACAATGATGTAATAGAATAGGTGGAAAGTCAAGAAATTAAGTTACCAAGGTAGTTGAAGACTGACAGTAGATTTCTTCTAAACATACAAACCTGGTTCCAGACCTCTGGTTGGAATAACTCCAGTGAAGTAAAGAAAATTTTAATTATTCTGTATATTGATTCTAAAGCATCCCGTTTGATGTCCTGTATTCAATAATTGCTTAGTAATCGCTTTATTGAGAATACTTTGGGCTACTTAATCATGAGCTATATGGGACGTGCTCAAAATATCGAAGGTAAGTCAATGTTTTTCTTTTCTTGACGTAACTGTTCAACCAGATACACTTGAAGTGATACACACAGTTGGAAGTAGCATATAAGGGGTACATGTAGGTTCTTAACTGTACCAGCGAGAAAGAAGTACGACACAGTGGACAGCAGCAGATTTTGCAGCAGGATACGTCCTGGGCTGCGCAGTAAGTAGTCTTTGGTCAACCATCTTGGCTATGTTATCACCTTTGAAGTCATAGTGAATAAAGACCAACTTCTTACCGATAGTTATTTCGTCAGTTTTACCTTATTGTCTCCTACCGTAATTATTGTTGAAGCTTTTTGGAGACCCATTTTTCTAGGATACGTTTCGAGAAGCGATAATTCCTCTTCAAATTCAGCTGGTGAGTGTATTCTTCATGTTCTACAGAAAAATGTTCTAGCCTGTACTCGTCTGTATTTGACTTGACAGAAACTGATGGAACTAAGGTAAAGACCGTTCCATATACCTTTACAATGAATAGATTTTTGATACCTACCATCAGTCCTATGTTGAATGTTGACAGCCACGAGGTTGAATTTATCATTGTTTTCATATGTCATTATGAAGTTTTTGTTTTCGTATGCACTACTGAAGATTCCTACACACAATGTCAATGTATCAATCGAAGGATATTGTTTCATCAATTTCACACTTGAGTTTTGTCAGCTCAAGATTCCTTATGAAAGTATCTTCTAATATAGGGCCTAATGCGCTGCCCATTTCCACTCTATCAACATGGAGGTATAGATATTGTCGAACTTGTATTGGACATCTTTCGTACATATCAAATGAAGCCTCCTGAATTTCTTTGTTAGTAGCGGGAGAAGATCGGGCGTCTTGGTAGGGAATATTGAATCTTTCAAGAACAGCCACTTGTGTTAATAAGGAAGTCAAATCATTCAGTTGACTTACCGTCTCAACAAACTGCAACGTATTTTATATGGTGTACTTAGCCAGCCGTTGACGAAGAAGTTCTGAATTTCCTGCTAATCAGCGAACAACTTTATGGTATGGCGAATCAAATATTTATAATATTACATCTTAATGGAACATTCCATTCGTATATCTTTGACAGGATGTGCTTAACAGACAAATAAGATCCATGAGCCTTCAAATCGTTGTACATGAAATTATCAATCAGCTTCAGATAGTTTTCTTACTGTGCTATGTCGCTGACCCTTCTTTGACTGATTTCACTGAACTAAAGTATGTTGACATTTTATTGTTGTTTGTTATTGTAACTATGCTGCATCTTAAGCAGCTGACGAGAACTGCTGAAATAATAAAGTCAATCCACATTATTATGCTCCACTGTTTGTCTTTACCGTTTTAAAAACATTCTTATCTGCATTTAGGAATGTTTATATTCAGCATCCCTGTCAACTGTATTGATTGTTGTTGAGACAGTAGAAGGCTGTCTGTCAACAGTCTCTCTTTTCTTCTTGTCTTCGCATGTCAGTGGTATTGTTGTGGTGGGTACTGACGTTCTGATTTGCGTTAGAGTCGATTCGCTGAGCCTTAGGTTCGTGTCGTTCATAGTGTGCTAGGCTCGTATCTCTCGTAGACTGTTAGGTCATACTGCCGGTCAAAGCAAATTAGTGACGGGTGTATTTTCAAACGGACCTATTACACTTGGAGAAAGTGATGGGGCAGCAGCTTAAAATGATGAAGTTGGTTGCTGGCCCAGGGATATCTGCCCCAGTCTATTCATCTCCAGCCAATGACATCGTCGGTAACAGCATATCCGAATTCGTCTATGAACCGGATGCAAATATAACGTTTGACACATGGTTTCGCAGATATGAAGACTTCGCAAAAAGACACGACACATGGATAGTCGGACTGTTGCTTTGAAAGTCGGGAGCAGACGAATTGGACAAATATTGCAATTTGACGCTACCACCGAAAGCTAGTGATAGAATTTTCCATGAGACCGTGCAGACACTTCGTCATCAGCTTGGCGACCGCAGGTCGTTGTTCAATATACCTTACCACTTCATGAAGCTGGTGTTGAACGAAAACGATCATGTCCACATGCAGTTAGGTATAGGCAACCATACCTGTGAACGCTTCAAGTAGAAATCCCTTACAGAAGATCATTTCAAAGTCTTAATATTTATTCATGGTCTACAGTTCCCATGGTTCGCCGATAAACGAACATGCCTGTTAAACAGATTAGAGTGGGACCCACAAGTGACATTAAAAAATATTGGAGAAGAGTATCAGCTGTTGACCGACCTTCGTAAAGATACCACCTTGATCCAGTCCGACGGTCAGAGTGCAGCAGAAGTACATGCGGTGCCATCGACGGTAACGCTGACATTGATTTCACCGCAAGAGAAACCACCTACAGCAAACTAGCACTGCAATGCTAGGTACCACGTCAAATCGTGCCCGTTCAAATACCATAAATGCCAACGATGCCATAGTATTGGACCCAAAGATGGTTGCTGTCAACAGAATAGCCGGCTAAGGTCCAGAAGCTGATCGCGTTGACATCCCATGCCAATGTCTGTGAGTACTACAGCCAACTACAACATCAGCAGTCGCGTACGACGCAAAACAGACTGATGTCATGACTAGCCCTCAGCCTTTATGTCTTTATATAGACACGGCATCAGACGTAACAATAATATCGGAGAATCTTTGTTAGAAATTGAAATGACTGATCATAAAGGAGATAAATCAAATTGCAGTCAGCGATTGTGGTGGAAAACTTTAATTAAGTCGGCAATTAAACAGTATATATAATACGGTCGAAGCTATACAGGCCACAAGATTACTGCAAGAAATCAAGATGTTGTTCCAGCCTGAATTACGGCGCTGCAACACAATTGTGACATGATGTCATACAAGTTTTTCGTCCCCAAGAACGCTTGCTCCGTATGCCTCACACCAAAACTGTTGAAGCAGCAGCATCCACTAGGAAATTGTTTAGCATCTACGATGTATAAAATTATCGTAAAATAGATGGTTTACCTATGAGTAACTGCTTAAATAGGCTATTTCGGTTCACAAATACCTTCAAATGTCAGTGAAATTCAACAGTATATTGAACATTAGAGTACTGACAAACAATAACACATCTCAAGGATTTCAATACAATTATCAAACGCATCATAAAGCTTGACAGAAAAGTTGTTTAGGTTAGACAAGTACTTAAAATATCATATCCGATTCTAGCAGTGATTCCAACTATATAGACAATGCTCTTCAACATGCCTCAGTTCAATAAATCAAGGGCATGAAGTCTTAAATTTAACCACAGTTAGTTCTCTTTTAAACTAATCCTATTCTAACCAATATAGAATGTTGGTATGATATTGAACAATTGATAGATAAAACAAACAATAAAAGACTATTCTAACCTTTAACATTTGACATTGTTGTTCTGTATCATTTTTTAATTTAACTACTTGTGTTAGCATTTCTTTCGAGTCTTTTAGTGTTTGTGTTAATTGTCGACTTTCTGTACAACGTTTAGTTAATTCATGTTTAACTTCATTGACAGATTTTTCTAATTGTTTACGTAAATTTTCAATATCCTTTAATTTTAAGGAAAATAAAACAAAAAAAGATAGAGGATATAGAAACAAAGAAAGGATATATAAGCCAATATTATATATATATATATATATATATATATATATATATATATATATATATAATTTTAAAGATACCAGTTAAGACAATTATGAAAGGTTATTGAACCAATCAACTTGATGGAGCATGACCAAGTTGTAGATGAGTTGACAAACTATACATTCCAACTTGACATTCTCAACTGCTCAACTGTAGTGTCGACAGGATTGTCGTTGGAAACCACCCTGTAGGGAAAATAGAGGCGTATCATCTAGAACATAAGAGTGTCGAGATCCAGCTTGACATAATACTGAACAAGTTGAGTAATTAGAAACCACTCAAGTTGATCTGTACATTTCGTCAGATAACCAGATCAGATTGATCTAAATACTACATGACTGTTTCTCTTGTTTAGACAGGAGCCAACTGATCAGTGGTCTACCAGGACAATTTCAGTTCATATCACCGAATTAGTTCAGATCATCTGAATCTAACTCTCTGACTTGCATGGACTGGTGTACTTAAAATAAGACGATCAGTTTGCAAATCGTCAACAAATTGCATGGTCTACATTGACATTTCTCAACTGATAATTAGTTCAAATTGGTTTCACTGAAAGTAAGACATCAATGGAATCAAATACTTTATGATCAGTTTCTTAGATCTGATGACATGAGTGAGCTTGAAAAGCTTAAAGGGACACAACCCTTTTTGATGATCATAGCCTTCAAGATTGTCTTTTTGTTTCACAGCTATATAATGACTTGATTAAAGTAAATAATCGCAAACACAAAGCGTTGTGATGATGAGTTATACAACAAGATTAAATTAATTCGATCCACTGAGACAAACATTTTATTACCATCATTAGTTGTCAATACTGAAGTTGCATATCGGAAAACTTGACAACTTGACTTACTTGAAGAGTTATATCAGCTCGAACAGGACTGATGGTAACTGACGAAACTACAGCTCGGATACGGAAGGTCCATGTTGCATTTGTCAACATGCATCATCTATAGCTCCAACTAGCACGATATTTGATTATCCACCAAAGGAGGGATATACTACGCTTAAGTTTGTTCTGTCGCGTAAAGTGGCTGTGAGATATGGTCATTAGAAGTAGAAGACATAAAACGATTACTTGGTCTTGATCACAGATGTCTTCGAGTAATCGACGGCTTATGCCGAAATTATCAACTGAGCAATGTTAAGGTCAACCTCGCCTGGTTGACTAGTTCACTAGCTACTAGCCGGTCCTTAGCCTGGCTATACAGGGAAGGTTGGGCATAGGGCTAGCAACCCTACCCCATAAAACCAATCCGACCGCTAAAGAAACTTCAAAGCACAAACGAAATATAAAAAATAATGACAAAATTATTCCTCACTGGAATCGGAAAGGCGAAATAACGCCAGTTGGTGAAAGCCTTCGAGAAGCCAACTGGCCGATGTGTCTTCTCTCGATGAAAGCAAAAGTAAACGTGGGGACATGGAATGTCCGTACGATGTTTGAACCCATCAAGGCAGACCAAATTGCAAAAGAGATGAGAAGGTATCACAATGAAGTGCTTGGGATTTGCAAAAGCAGATGGAATGGGAGTGGACTCTCCAAACTGTCAACTGGAGAATCAATAATCTACTCCTATATTGTCACCCAGATGACAACCACGAGCACACTGAGTTTCGGAGTGGCTATCATGATGTCCCCAACAGCATCGAAGGCTCTCATGCAGTGGGAACCAATCTCCTCAACGATCAGCATCATGACAGCAAGGTTCAACTCAAAAGGAAGGAAGGTCACCATCATAAGATGCTACGAGGTGCACCTACAAATAGTGCAGATGAAGAGAAGAAGGAGGAATTCTACAGACAACTTCAATCAACACTGGACGAGACGTCAGTTGGTGATATCGAAATTCTAATGGGCAACATGAATGCGAAACTGGGAGCAGACAACACATAACCATGGGTCGAGAAGCGCTAGGTGAGGTGATGAAAGAGAATGGAGAATTGTTTGCAGAATTCTGTGCATTCAACGATTTGGTGATTGGAGGCAGTGTGTTCAAGCACAAGGATATCCACAAAGCGACATGGATTTGATTTCATCAGGCACCAGGACACACTACAGTAAAAATCAGATCGACTATATCTCAATCTGAAGAAAATGGAGACGCAGTCAGCCTACTTGACACAAGGTCAAGAAGAGGAGCAGATGTAGGTTCAGACCACTATCTAGTACAAGGAACCTTCCAAATCAAGTTAAAAGTCTTCAAGGATGCTGGTGATAGATCACAGTTCAAGTACAACACTCTGAAACTGAAGGACGGAACTACAAAGGAAATCTTCACTGCAGCCAGCCATCAAGACAAAATAAGGGATATCGAGCAACATCCTTGAAGAAACTTATGTGGATGAACACTGCAACTGTTTGAAAGGTATGTGGAAAGAAACCTGCACAACCTTGTAAGGAGGGAAGAAGAAGAGCCAAGACAAGGAATGGATCTCGATGGACACATGGAAGCTGACAGGGCAGGGAGAGGATGATGGTGATGGTGAAGCAGAAGATAAACCAGTGCAGCGCAAGGATGCTCAACGAGAAGAGGAACTGAGTACAATGTATAAACTACTGGACAAAGAAGTGAAGAAGAGTGCATGCACGGAAAGACAAAAGACACTTCTACGAAACACTGGCGAGTGAAGCAGAACAGGCTGCAGGTAGGAGAGACAGAGACCTGACGACATTGTATCAAGTAACCAGGTTGCTATCTGAGAAGAGATCAACACAGATGAAACCAATAAAAGATGATGATGGAAATTTAATTACGAAAGAAGAGAAGCAGAGGAAACAATGGGCCGACCACTTCAAGAAGCTCTTGAATCGACCACCACCACCATCTGCACTTCGTCCACAAATACCACCTGCAGCCCAGCCACAGAACTACAAGTGAACACAACAACAAAAATGGAAGTCCTGAACACCATAAAGCTACTGAAATGCGGGAAAGCAGCAGGACCAGATGGAATCCCGCCAGAAGCACTGAGAACAGACGCAGAGACAACAGCGGACATGCTCACACTACACCACCATTGCAGAAGGTGTGGAAGGAAGAGAAGGTACCTGCCTATTGACAGGAAGAAGGGTTACCTTGTCAAACTGCTGAAGAAAGGAGACCTCAGTGTTTGCAAGAACTGGTGCGGAATCACTATCCTGTCCACCCCAAGGCAGGCAAAATATTAAGCCGCATCATCCTGGAGAGGAGGCTAAAGGATGCACCGGATTCAAAACTACGACCGGAACAGGCTGGCTGGCTGACTGGCTGGATTCAGGAAGTACAAATCATGTGCTGACCAAATTGCAACGCTACACTACGCATCATCATAGAACAGAGCATAGAATGGCAATCAGCTCTCTGCCTCAACTTCATCGACTTTGAGAAGGCCTTTGACAGTGTCGACCGAGAGGTAATTTGGAAACTGCTTCAATACTACGGAATACCGCAAACCTTTATCAGCCTCATTCAACAACTATATGAAGACGCATGCCACATGCCAGACAAGTAATTCACAATGGGAGGCTCAGTGATGCTTTTGAAGTGAAGACAAGAAGGAGTGAAACAAGGTTGCCTATTATCACCATGATATTTCTGATTGTGGTGGACTGGATCATGCAACAAACAGTGGGGAGTGAGAAGAGGGGGATACGCTGGACCGAGTAAAAGATCTCAGAAGATTCGAATTTCGCCGATAACTTGAGTCTAATGTCACACAAACTTGAAGATCTACAGGTGAAAACCAACAAGTTGACAGGATAGGTGAGGTGAGGCGGAGCAGCGAAGACGGGACTTCAAGTGAATATAGAGAAGACAGAGGTGATGAAGATACCCAACCAACAATAACAACAAACTTCACTCACCACCAACGGGGAAACTTAAAGGAAGTAACCTTCTTCACCTATCTAGACAGCACTGTTTCAACTACAGGCGGCACAGACGAGGATGTCAACGCCAGTCAGGATAGGAAAGACAGCAAGACAGGCGTTCATTAGCCTGAAACCGGTGTGGAGATCTGCACTCAGCATGAAGAGTGAACGATATCCGGATTTTCAACACCAACGTCAGTCAAGTCAGTGCTTCTATGTGACGGATGAGAGACTTGGCGCGTTACGAAAGGGATTTCCAACAAACTACAGACATTCATCAACAACTGCCTACGCTGGCTCGTTACTGAAGCTTAGATGGCCAGAATAATGAGAATAAGCAACGAGGAGCTCTGGGAACGAACCAACCAAGCACCTATCTCCCAACAAATACCCAGAAAGAAGTGGGGATTGATTGGGCATACACTGAGAAGGCCGGTTGGGGACATCACGCGCCAGGCCCTCCAGTGGAACCTGCATAGGAAGCGACGAGTTGGACGTCCGAGGTGAGGGTGACATGGAGGAGATCATGCGAAGAGGAAATGAGGGCTTCTGGGCTGTCATGGAGTCAGGTTGAAAAGATTTCAGAGAACAGATTTCACTGGAGACGTGCTGCTGAAGCCCTATGTTCCATTAGGAACCCAAAGGACTAATAATAATAAAATAAAATGTTTAGGTCAGGCGAAGGCTACTAGGCAAGACAACGGAATCGACTGATGAGGTTGAAAACCTTAGTTAAGTGAGATGGCGTGGACACATACTATCACATGAGGAGTTTTTGACTGCTTTGTTGGGGTCCTTGAGACGAAAGGAATTATTGGTAGGCGATTCTTGGTTATATGGCTGAAAATCAGTCAGAATGAAGCAGATGTATTCACTCCTTGACATCTTCTAAAGCTTGAATGTTTGCACTAACCTTTGTATTCAAATAATTCTGTCTACTATGATATCAGTCTTGTTCCATCCACATGTGTGTTTTGTATACTATTGTGAAGTGTGGCAACTTGAGCCAATGCAGTTATGTATTAGGTTCTATACTGATTTTATCAGTTGTCAGTTAGTTAAACTTGTTAAGAAGATTAAAAACAACAATAACATAATAAATTGGGCATCTTGTTATGTTTCTGAAAATTACTCACAAAAAATTTCATACAAGTTATACACGACGTTTTATTTCTTCATGGCAAGCTAATTTGCAGTTAACGAAATATACCCATTTATTCATTAGCGAGACCAAGGCATGTATCAGCGAAGAAATATTTCTCTTCAACGACTTTATTATTATCAAGCAGTACAGTCATATTTATACCCCGTAAAGAGATAGATAAATGCACTAAAACGTTGCTCAGTCAATATTACAAAATATATAATCGGTGTAGGTGGTGGTATTTGTTCAAATGGAATAAAACTGGCCTCTTAAAGAAATAATTTCGGAGCTTTATTTGTATAAAAGGTACATGGATGACACTTTTCTTATTTGTGACGAAACATGTCCAGTGGACGAGCTGTTAAGACGCTTCAATGATTGTCACCCGTCCATTAAATTCACTGTCGAAGAAGAGTTAAACTCGACGTTCCACTTTCTAGATGTAATGTTAAAGCGAAGGGATGATGGCTCGATTAAAAGGTTAGTCCATCAAAAACCAACTTGGACCGGTCAGTTCACTAACTTTTATAGTTGTGTACCTCTTGGTTGTAAGAGAAATCTCATTCACTCACTGTGTTCCAGAATCTATGGAATATGTTCGGAAGATACGGTGGTTGCTGATTTCGAAACTCTTAGAATAATACTATCTAATAACGGATACTCTATAATATTTATTGATAAGAATTTAAAGAAACGAACCACTCCCCATCCCAACACAGTCCCTAAGAAAATTTTAACTCTGAATCTAGAATTCGAAGGAGACACCACAGCCGAAGTGCTGAAAAATCGTCTGTCAGGATGTATCAATAGTAGCTTCTATGCTGCTAGACTGAGGTTGATATTCTGCAGCCGCCGTCTGATTCGTCAATGCGTGAAGGATAGGCTTCCACTTATGTCCACTTCTATGTGTATCTACAAGTTCACATGCTGCTGTGGAGCCGACTATATTGGACGTTGTAAGCGGGCCCTCAGAAAAAGTGTTGCTGAACACTACCCGGTTTGGCTTACCAAAAGTGAGCAAAGGAAAACGATTTCATGCATATGTGAACACCTTGTTGAATTGGGTCACTCAGCACCTCGAGATTCATGCCTTAAAATAATTTACAAAGTTAAATTAAACTACTCCAAAGGTTTACGTTTCCACCACTTATGCATAGCTGAAGAATTAGCTATACATGAACAAAAACCGAGACTTTGCATTCAAAAACGTTTTGTGAAACCACTTTCTCTACTTTGGCTTTAACAATTCACTTTGGTTATTTTGTCAATTTTCATTTCACTTTGGTATACTTCCCTTTTCTTATCATGATTATCACCAATTTTCACTTCATTGACAGCACATGTCTCTTATCTCACCACTTGTTATCAATTCGTTCCTCATTCAGTGACCCATTTACTATTTCTTCCATTTGAACAAATACCACCACCTACACCGATTGTATATTTTGTAATATTGACTGAGCAACGTTTTAGTGCATTTATCTATCACTTTACGGGGTATAAATACGACTGTACTGCTTGATAATAATAAAGTCGTTGAAGAGAAATATTTCTTCGCTGATACACGCCTTGTTTTTGGTAACTTGCAGTTACTAATATGTGTGAGTAGATAATAAAAACTGTCTAGTTCGTTGAGAAACTCAGTAATAACTAGAAGACTAATAAGCTAAACTGACGAAACCTAAAGAGGATAAAACATATGTATTTCATGCTAGCGCAAAACACTACTGAAAAAGAATACGAGAATGCCATTTATGGGTAAATCAATCAATCAACTTGACTAACAATTAAATCAAATAACATGATGACAGTAATGATGGGTAGTGACTAGCAGTGGGATTCAAGAGCCGTATTTCGTTCCATTCGGGACTCGTCAGCTGGATGTATGTGCTTATCTGTATTAAATGGTCGTCGAACCTGATTAATTCATATTTACTCAATGCAATGAAATTCAGGGTAAGATGGATGAATGGAAAAGGAAATAATCTTGGAACTGTATCTGTATAGAAGGTACAATGACGATACTATTCTTATTTGTCATCAGATGAGTTGCTCAGACGATTCACTGATTGTCACTTGTCTATCGAATTCACTGTAGAAGAAGCGTTAAACTCAACATCTCACTTCCCAGACGTGATGTTAAATGGAAGAGATGATAACTCTATACAAAGATCAGTCTATCATAAACCAATATGCATTGATCAGTTCATGAACTTCAATTGTCTGGTATCTTTTAGTCGTAAAAAGAAATCTCATTCACTCGCTGTTTTCCAGAACCTATAAAGTCCATTTAGAAGACACAGCGGATGTTGAAAGTAAAAAGCTTAGAACAACACTAGTGAATAGTCGATACCCTAAAAGATTTAATGATACGAAGAGTAAAATGATGAATATGGAATTCAAAAGGGACACCATAGCCGAAGTGCTGAAAAGTCGTCTATCAAAGTGTATTAATAGTATCTTTAATGCTGCTAGGCTTAGATTGGTTTTCTCCAACTGTTACCTGGTTCGATAATGCGAGAAGGATAGGCTGCCATTTATGTCCACATCTGTGTGCATCTACAAATTTACATGCTTCTGTCGAGATGACTATACTGGATTTTGTAAGCTGCGGGCCCTCCGAAAACGCGTTGGAGAACATTCCCTCGTGAGGCATACCAAAGGCGATCGAAGAAATACAAGTTCATCTATGTGTGAACAGCAAGAAGAGTTAAGTCATTCAGCTTCTCGAGATTCATCCTTTAAGGTATATCATACAGTTAAATTGAACTACTCCAAAAGTCCATGTTTCCACCACTTGTGCATAGCTGAAGCATTAGCTATACATGATGTCGTACAAACTCAAATATCTACAGGCGAAAGTAACAAGTTGACAGAAGAGGCGAGGCAGCGAAGGTATACAAGACTTCCTTCAGGTGAAAGTAGGGAAGATAGAGCTGATGAAGATATCCAACCAAAAACCAACAATAAAAAGCATCATTCACCATCAACAGGAGAAATCTAGAGGAAGTTGTCTCTTTCACCTACCACTTAGGCACAGGTCAGGATGTCAAAGCAGCCAGGATTGGAAAGACAGCAAGACTGGCCTTCATTAATTTGAAATAATCAGTTTGAAAATCTACTGCACTGCACTACACTACACTCAGCATAAAGCGTGAACAAGATCCGGATTTTTAAGTCAAGTCAATGCTTCTATGTGATGGTTTTAGAAACTTGGCACCTTATGGAAAGCATTTCCAATAAACTACAAAGATGTATCATCAACAGCTACCTACGCTCAATAGTGAAGATCAAATAGCCAGAATAAATAAACAACAATGAACCAACCAAGAATTCATTGCCCAACAAATATGCAGAAGAAAGTGAATATGGATTGGATTGAGCATGCACTAGGAAGACTATTTAGAGACATCATGCATTATCCAAAAGCCCTTAAATGGAACCTGTATGGGGAACAATTTGTTGGGGGGGGGGGGTATGACAGTGATTTGAAGGATGATATGAATGCTTCTGAACAGTGGTAGAGCCAGGTTAAAGAGACTGTAGAGAAGAGAATGAAATGGTTATGTGTTACTGAAGCCCTATGGACAAATAATAACAACAAGATTTTAAAAGAATAAATAAAATAAAAGATTTACCAATAAAATCAATATATTTTTATGATTAAATTTTATTACCTCTTCTTTAGGCATACGATTATATTCATTTTGTAGGATACGTTTTTCATCTTTTAAACTTTCTATCGTATAATTTAATTCATCATTTCTTTCTTCAATTTGTAATAGACGATTATTTGCACATAATAATTGTTTACGTAATTCATCTGATTTTGTATTATAACCTTCAGGATAATTATCAGCTTTTGATAAATATTCATGTAAACCATCTAAATGAATCGCCCATTTTTTACATAATTGTATCAAATTAAATTCATTATCTCTTATTCTATTCAATTTGATTAATTATCACAGTGTTGTTATTTCAATTATTTTTTTTTTCGAAAAAAAACAAAACAAACACAACAAAAGTGAAATAGAGTAATGATAACTTTAGATATCGTCAACACAATGGAATCAGTTGTTTTGCAATATGATACGTACTTGTTTCAACACAGAATTATATATATATATATATATATATATATATATATATGTATATGCTGGGTTTTTAATTAATCTTATAATAACTAAAATATTTTGTATCTACTTACCAATTATGTAATGATTATCATATTATGGTATTGTGTTGAAGTGTTCTTCATGCCATTTAACATTGACTATTCATATCTATCATATACTGTTATTGTGTAATCATGAGAAGCTACTTAAACCATAGCATTCTAATGATAATCACTCTCCTGTCCACCCCAAGTAAAATATTAAGCCGCATCATCCTAGAGAGGCTTAAAGACGCACTGGATTCAAAACTACGACCAAAACAGGCTGGCTGGCTGACTGGCTGGATTCAGGAAGTACAAATCATGTGCTGACCAAATTGCAACGCTACACCACGCATCATCATAGAACAGAGTATAGAATGGCAGTCAACTCAACTCCACCTCAACTTCATCGACTTTGAGAAGGCCTTTGACAGTGTCGACCGAGAGGTAATTTGGAAACTGCTTCAATACTACGGAATACCGCAAACCTTTATCAGCCTCATTCAACAACTATATGAAGACGCATGCCACATGCCAGCCAAGTAATTCACAATGGGAAGCTCAGCTCAGTGATGCCTTTGAAGTGAAGACAAGAAGGAGTGAAACAAGGTTGCCTACTATCCCCCATGATATTCCTTATTGTGGTCGACTGGATCATGCAGCAAACAGTAGGCAGCGAGAAGAGGGGGATACACTGGACGACGGAAAAGAACCTAGAAGACTTGGATTTCGCCGATGACTTGTGCCTAATGTCACATAAACTTGAAGATCTGCAGGCAAAAACTAACAAGTTGATAGAAGAGGCAGCGAAGACGGGACTTCTGGCGAATATAGAGAAGACAGAAGTGATGAAGATACCGCACCACCACCATCAACAACAACAACAACAAACTCCAATCACTGTCAACGAGAGAAACTTGAAGGAAGTAACCTCCTTCACTTATCTAGGAAGCACTGTTTCAACTACAGGCGGGACGGACGAGGACGTCAAAGTCAGAATCGGAAAAGCAAGACAGGCATTCATTAGCCTGAAACCAGTGTGGAGATCTTCTGCACTCAGCATGTGGAACAAGATAAGGATTTTCAACACCAACGTCAAGCCAGTGCTTCTGTATGGTTCAGAGACTTGGCGCGTCACGAAAGGGATTTCCAATAAACTACAGACATTCATCAACAACTGCTTACGCTCGCTGCTGAAGATCAGATGGCCAGAAAGAATAAGCAACAAGGAACTCTGGGAACGAACCAACCAAGAACCTATCACGCAACAAATATGCAGGAAGAAGTGGAGATGGATTGGCCATGAACTGAGAAGGCCGACTGGGGACATCACGCGTCAGGCCAGTTGCTCGAGTGGAATCCCCATGGGAAGCGACGAGTTGGGTGTCCGAGGTGAGGGTGACATGGAGGAGGTCGTGCGAGGAGGAAATGAGAGGTTGTGGGCTGTCGTGGGACCAGGTTCAAAAGATCTCAGAGAACAGAGGTCACTGGAGGCGTGCTACTGAAGCCCTATGTTCCACTAGGAACCCAAGGGACTAATAATAATAAATATAATTCTAATGATAGATAAGTTTACAGGGAATTTCTGCATCTCATTATTATTATATGCATATACATCTTCTTTGATTTCCATTAGGTAAGGGATATAGCGATAGCATTCTATTGAAATACGTACGCTACTATGTATGCTACTGTTAAAGGTAAACATTACAATTTATTAAAATGTGTTCCTTTACTTTGTCTATATGCTTAATGTTGTTTGACTGTAAGAAGTTTAATGATATGCGTGTTGTATCATTTTATTGTCCTCATTAAGGTATTCATTCTTTAATTGACTTCAAAACAAAAGTGAAATAGAATAATGATAACTTTAATTTTAGAAGATAGATGAATAGTTCAGTGTTTCTTGAACTATACATCTTTATGAAAATAATCCTGTGGATATCACCAAACCAGAAGGTGATGAAACTTCCATGAAAAAAATATTATAATATATAATTTATTCTCACATTATGAGTTTAATATGAGAGAAATCACTTTACAGGTATCATTATATTGATATATTAATTTAGTTGGTTATGACTAGCAGAAGAATCCAGGATGCATGTTTCGTCCTATTTGGGACTCATCAGCTAGATGTTCCTGTCTCCTAATGAGCGAACCTTGTACCCATCTCAGTGGGAACAATATCACTGCAGTACAGGTACATCCAGCTGACGAGTCCCAAACAGGATGAAGAGCACGTCCTAGATTCTTCTGCTAGCCATCACCAACCAAATTATCATAATTAACATTCAGGCAATATCGAGGCAACCGCATAGGAGCCTATATGCCAACAGAGGTTGAACGATTCGATCCAATAAAACGACGGAGAATAACAAGTATGTCAATAAATAGTAATAACATTGATATAAGTTGAATTCAATGTGGAGATCTATTGCACTCAGCATAAAGGACAAGATCCTGATTTTCAACACCAATGTTAGTCAGGTAAGTCAGTGCTTCTATGTGATAGTTGACAGACTTGGTGAGGCGTTACGAAAAGCATTTCGAACAAACTGCAGACAAACATCATGAACAGCAACCGCCTACGCTCACTCGATACTGACACTGAAGATCAGATCAGATGGCCAGAATAATAAGAATAAGCAACAAGTAACTCTGTCAGGCTGTCGAAGAAACCAACCAAGAAACTATCACCTAGCAAATATGCAGAAGAAGGGAGTGAAGATGGATTGGATTGAGCATACACTGAGAAGGCAGATTGAGGACATCACGCGCCAGATCAGGTCAGGCTATCGAATGGAATCGAGAGGGGAAACGACGAGGTGGGCGTCAGAGGCGTCGGGGAAATGGAGATCATGTGAAGAAGAGATGAAAGGTTGTGGGCAGTCGTGGTGCCAGGTTGAAAAGACTGCAGAGAGAAGAGAGGTAAATGGAGGCGTGGTACTGAAGCCCCATGTTTCACCAGGAATCCAAGGGAAAAATAATAATAATATGTTGAAAAATTTACAACATTTTTGGCATCCTGAATAGTAGAGAAGGGAGGTCATTAAACCCTATTAAAAACATCAAAAGATTCTGCTAGTTATGAAATGAACAAGAAAATATCACTTTTCAGCATATACGGAGTATGAAGGTTTACATCGTTTTCAGTCATACATTTGTTTCATCATGAGTGGCACCAAGGTCGTGAGAAATTGCAAATTTCCATTACAAGCAGTCGACATATTTGACTCCTCTTCATAATGCCACGTTGAGCCAGATAAACATGAATTCTTATGCTTATAGCTTCAGAGATCAAAAGAACCCAGATTGACCATTTCCAGAGTCAGTAACTTTCCACATAATCATATAACCCAAATGAATATCTATGTCCAAGCATTTCCCACTATTCAAGTGTTACCGTTCGCAGCGATATAGATTTACGCGATTAGAATTAGATTTTGTAGTACAAAGGAATAAACATTCGAAGGACTGTAGACCAAAGGTAATGGGTTTTACGTACTATTCACGTTAAAGTATGCCGTATTATCAAGGTGGCATACTCACTGTTAGCTGAAGTACTAGAGAGGTCTGTCGCTTAGTATTGTTGTGAATATATTCCCTTTAGAGTCAATAAATGAGTTGATCTCTTAAATTTAACTGCCTGTTCGGATTTGCTTTGCCATTGAGTAGTTCGAGGATAGATAAATGTTCATATAGTGAAAACTCGATAAATATCTTTTTCTTCTCATACTGTGGCAACTTGAAGTGACGACATTCTATGAGCGGTTTCACAGTGCACTTCTTTTCTATCTGTCCTGACAGAGGAAATTCATGATTGGTTTATTTTTATAATAACATATCTGGAAAGCAAAATGAACTGAGCAGTTGCGTCTAACATTTACCGTATCCTAAATTTTCACTATCCTATCTATCGTTGCATACAAAGTGTGAAAGGTTAAACTAATTCATTTCTCTACTTATTCCATAGTTCATCGGTATGTGTGCGACTATCTCGACAAAGACAAACTATTACTATCTTAATAAAAAAGATCAAAATATCCGTGATTATTCTGTCAAAGTAAAATCTTGAAATTCTTGTTATGGTACTCATAATTTCCCATTGCTGTACAGGCCTGAATTCCTCTACTAGTCAACAAGATCAATATAACACTATGAATATCCGGCAGTATCGATGCATCCTCATAGGAGCCTATCTGCCAACAGAAATCGAGTGATTAGGCTTCGTATAGCAACGGAAAATTACAAGTATCCTAACAACAATCGATACTCATTGCACAAAAGGTGATTGTCATGCCCCAGTGGCTTAGTGGATAACGCTCAAGTGTTTAAAGCGAGGCGTACTGGGTTTCAGCCTCAGTGGGAACAACATCCAGCTGACGAGTCCCAAATCGAAGAAACGTGCATCCTTGGTTTCTCTGCCAGTCACCGGGATGAATATAACATCTCAAAATTCTTATATACTTACGAAAATCTGTAATTAATAACTGCCAAAGTAATTGCAAAACCTTCAAGTAGAAAATAAGTTGGGGTCACAAAGGAGATGATTATCACAACTAAAATATCTTCTAACAGTAAACATTTCGAATCGGTGTCAGATAAATTAAACTGGAGAGTCCCACCACTACAACTCAACCTGCTTCTTCTTCACGTACCACAAGAGGAAATAAACTTGCACAGTGTATGCATCCAGGAAGTTTGAACCGCCCTCATAATTCTGTCAGCACTCAGGTCCTTTCAGATCATTATAAACCTTCGATATATTTGCTTTTTAAACTAT